GATTTTGTAACATAACAGGAAAAAAATTAAAATCATAACGAGTATAGTTAAATGAGTGTCATTTTAAAAACTATTATATATGTAAAGGAAAATGCTGTATAAAATTAAATAAATAGAACTAAATACATAATTTATTGGTATGAAAACCCCACAATATAGTCTATATTGATCAGAAAAATCAGTTTCTAGCTCTGATCATTTTAAGTTTTATAAAATATATGAGAGAAAATTATTCTTACGGCATTCTTAATTTTTATACAACCAAGACTTCAACCTAGAAATTAAGGAAATAGTTGGAGAGATATATATATATATATTTTTTTTTTTTCAATAATAAAAAGTTAATACAGAACAACGCAAGTAATGGATATCATGGTTCACCGTATTATTCGATACGCAATCCCTTTTTAAGTCTGACATACAATTCGTATCGGTCAGTTTATACTGACTTTATTTGAATCCATTACACTGCGACCATGATCAATATTGCGAACCATAATGGTACGCATTATCTTACAAACACACACATTTACATCCCAGAAGAAAATAAACCTATCCCACCTACATAAATATGAGAACATGTACCTTGGTTAATAATTTTTTTGGGGGAAATTATAAAAAAATGGATTTTCCCAAAAAAATGAATTTTGAGAGGATTTATTACCTAGAGATTGAGTTAAAATCAACACTTTCAAATTCATGGACTTTAACCAAAATCTGATGTGAACATGGAAAAACACTCATTTGTCCAAACTACCCTTAGTATCTTTCACACTACTTTTGTATAGGGATGACAATGGGGCGGGGCAAGGCGGGGATCTCATTCCCCTTCCCCATTCCCGCTGAATTTTTCAATCCCCATCCTCGCCCCCATCCCCGTTTAAAATTTCACCACCACCCCCATACCCACCCCCACCTCGGACCTCTTATCCCCATCCCTGCCCCATCCCCGGCCCGATTAACATATATTATTTTTTTAAAAAAAAACATAATTTTTCTTATTTCCATATATATAATAAATCTAATTTAGTAATAAATTATTAAATGTAAGGGTATATTAGTAATTTAATACTTAATCGGGGCGGGGCGGGGCCGTGCCTTGCCCCGCCCCCGCCCCCGGCGAGATTTCAAAATTTATCTCCATCCTCATCCCCGTTTATATAAAAGGGTCCCCATCCGCGCTATAAATAGGGCGGGACGGGGCGGAGACCCGGCGGGGATGGGGAATTTGTCATCCCTACACATGTATTATTTTTGTGCAAACTAAGTAATCAAAATGCTTTGTACAAAAAATGATACATTTGTGCACAAAAGTAATACATCTTATTCACAAGAATGCACAAAAGTAGTACCGAAAGATACTAAGGGTAGTATAGGCAAATGAATAATATTTTTCATCTCCGCATCATATTTTGGTCAAAGTCTATGAATTTGAAAAGTGTTAACTTTGACTCTATTTCTAGATGAAAGAATCTCCCAAAGTCCACTTTTTTATTAATTATTTTTATTATTATTATTATTATTTTGATACTATTTCAAAACATTACATAATCCCTTGTACAAACAACTACTTACCCAAAAAAAAATTAAACCTACCGTATAAAAAAAAAATCAGAGCATCTGTAGAAACAAAACATGGATATAATTTAACTAGATTTAGATATAATTGTATGCATCAAAAAGACTTCAGATATGTAGACACCATAAAACACAAAATCTAGAACTGGTTGGGGTTTCTAATTTTTCTTCAACAAAAAAGAAATACAAAAAAAAAATACCAACATTTATCAAATTTAACGGACTAATGTGGAGTGTATGAATACAGTAGATGGAATCATATTATTATATACGGTGAAAACTACTCCATCCACGGCATCCATATATATCCATCACATTCAGTCCTCCTCACTGTCCGAAGGAGGCTTGTTCAAATCAAAACCGTTGGCATCATTCTTCCCAGGGGAAGAATGTGGAGTGCCTTGTGCCGGAATTTGTTCTTCCGGATCTTCTTCCATGGCCGCCGGTTGATTTATGTCTTCTTCCATGGCTGCCGGTTGATTTAGGTCTTCTTCCATGGCCACCGGTAGATTTAAGTCAATTAGCGGCCTCGGATTCTGCTCCGGCAAAGCAGCAACAATGCCTTGGCTCCTTAACTGTTGTATTACCCTGGCCATATCCCGGTCAATCTCCTCTGCAGTGAAGACCAGTGGAGGATAAGTCCCTCGCCACCAACGGTCTTCGCGGTGTGCCCTCATGTGACCCCAGAGGGCTTTATCAACGTCAAATTGTTTCGGACACAAATAGCATTTATAGGGTTTTTCACCGGAAGCCCTCTTCTTAGAAGTACTACCCGAACTCCATACACCTCCGAGTCTCTTTTTTGGAGGAGGAGCAGTCAGTCTGTTCTCTCCCACTCTCGTAGATGACCCCTCACCACCACCATGATGGGACGGGACAACTGGACTAGTGTCATTGCTCTCCTGCTTAGCAGAAGAAATGGTTAATGATATGGGAGCGTCAGTGGGAGTGCTATTTGAATCCGCCTCTTGTTGTCCAGAGGACGGAATAAGGTTGGTTTCTTCTGTAAGAGGAGGCGTGGAGCCTTCACCAGTGGTGGGTGGCGGAGTTCCGCGGTTATTTTGTTCCCGAGATTTATCAGTCATTATTGTCGAATGAGTGATAGAGGGAGTTTGGACAACTATTTGTGCAAAACAACGAGTGAATGAGGCGGGTTGGGATTGTATTGGATGCCGTTATTTATAGTGGACAAAAAGTTTGAACCGTTTTAATTTATAATATTCTATAGATTATATACGTTAAATATATAGTCAAAGATTACGTAGGTGATTAAATACGATTAAATTTACAGCGAAGATTAATTGAATTTAAAATCGATAGAGAAGGCGGAGTAATCGTACTCGTATTTGAAAAATTAAACCCTAACATATAATCGTTGCGTTGTACTAACATACCAAATGTACAAGTTCGTACATTATAGAGACCCACAACACTATCCTAATAAAATCCGGTCCACCTAATAAATTTTAGTAGAATGTTTTAAAATATATAAATTTATGATTGTATTATATTAAAAATTCTTTAAACAAACTTGTGACTCATTAGAGACTTATCTCACCCATATGTAGAACTTAAAGTTACAAATAAAACTTTAGTTATATATAAAATCCTCCACCCAATGAACAATTAGATGCATTACATACTCTAAAATCCTCTAAAAGTCTATACATAAATACACTAGATATTTACAAAACTCTAAAACTTCAATTTTAATTACCCAACTCTCTCAACATCCTATAATTATTCTAGAAGCTCAAATGTGGCTTGTGCATTTGACACAACTTTAAGTTATCATTTGGTTTGGAATGAAGGAAGAATATTAAATAAATAAAAGAATAAATTCCTCTCCATCATATTAGTTTTTTTGAAAAAAATAATAATAATAAGTATCATAAAAAAAATTACATGTAAAATTTTAATTTAAATTAACTTTTTTGAAAAATATATATATATTAAGGAAAAAAATTTACTTGTAAAATTTAAATTTTTTCTTTTGATTTTTGATTTTTTACCATTTTTTCATGATAACCAACTAAAGGGAAATGGTTTTTTTTACATGGTATTAAATCCTGCTTTTGAATCCTTTTTTCGACATAAATTTTAAACCTCTCAATGTTCCTTTATATAATTCTTAAATTTTGATTGATGATGGATATAATATTTCTAGATGACTTATGGATGGTGATGGCAAAATGACCCTGATTGTTGGTCCCAGTTCTATTTTTGAAGGTTAAACACTTCCCTCCACCCCGAGCATATATCACAGTTAAAAAATACTCTTACTAAAATGTTTTTATTATGTATAAATATATATTATAGGATTAGGCTATTAAGTATTAACTAGGAGCCATTTTTTGATGTCATGGTAAAAAAATTCAAGTTTGCTAGTTTGTTAATTTGGAATCTAAAAACACGAAGGCTGTGTTTGGCGCATAGAATTAGAGTCTTGTAGTTGGAATAATTGGAAGAAAAAAAAAATTTTAATTCAATTTCATGGTGTTGATCAATGAAACGCTCAATTTTAGAGTGTTTTTGCTTCAAAAAGTCTTTTTCTATGGATCCGGATAGAAAATGTAATGGGTATAAATGAGTGCTAATCCCTCCTAATAGCTTAAACTTTTGTATCAAATCGCAAAACACCCGATTCGTTACAGTTGGATTCGAGCCAGGATTCAATGCCACGCCAAGCATGGTCCGACCACAACGAAAGCATTGCGAATTCGGATGAAAAAAAATGTTAACCTACCTAATAGGCTTCGGCTTTTGGATCGAATCGCAAAGCACCCGCCCGTTTATACCGAATTTAAAAATTAGTTTCTAAACATGTTTAAAGTGACAATTTCGGATTTTCGGGATCCAGTAATTTAATTTTTTCATTGTGCTCGGGTCCATCCAAAGGACTTCTAGGCCTTGGGCCAGCATATGACATACTAGTATGAAACCTTTGCCTTTTAATTAACAAACCAATGTAGTAGGCATTTAAGGGACTTCTCAAAGCCCTTTCAGAAATTTCTGCACAACCTCAAGATTGTTCATTAACAAAATCACAGTATTTTCAAATGGCAGTATAATAACTTAGATAATTCATAACTAAATATAACTAAATGCTGAGTAAAATAATATTTTGATTTTAAAGGATTGAATTACTTCTAAGTTTTTTAACAAAGTAATTCTACAAAGCCTATCCCAATATTCGGGCTCTTCTTGGATGCAAACAATTCCTTAGGGGGGTGTTGGTGGTGAGCGTCAACTAGGGGAACAAAAAAGAAGGGTATCCCGATAAAGTTACCATTGTTTTTAGGAAGTTGCACCAGAAAGACACCCCACCAAAAAAAAAAAAATGAAACAAAGAAAAACTCTCACAAATTGTATCAGTTTCAACTTTCAACTGCTGACAAGCAGTTTAAAAGTTAAAGAGCAGATTGCAAGTAAAGAATAAAGTGTATTAAAATCTAGGTAACAGGAAACTGTCATCAAGAACAAATACCAAGATTTAGGTAAAAAGAACAAAAAAAAAATGTAACGACCACAATTATGAAACAGATCTTAATAGCGTACTTACAAGGCTTCAAATCCGGTAATCTCCCCCTTCGTTTTTTTTATTTTTTTAGTTTCTGCGTTGGGGCAGGTGGCTGGGTGAGTGTGGTCCGGGGTTTTTTTTTTTTCGGTGCGGAGGAAGAAGAAGAGAGATTGTAGTCCAATAGTAACACCCCATATTGAGTTCACAGCTCTTATCATAATTTGTACTTTTTCATACCCAAAATAAGATTTTGGTGTCTCAGGATCCAACTGACCAATCTCATCCATCCCTACTGACCATATGGTCATATCAAACAGAATGCCAACAGTGAGCATAATCTACTGACCCGGGTTCCCCAGAAGCCGCTCCACTGCAGCATGAACATTCCCTGCAGTAGCAGTCAGTGCCCGAATATTCTCTTGGGTGTCAAAAAAACCCATTTCTTGCAGCTGCGAGAGCTGAGTTGCATACAGTTCTTCCGGTGGCACTACATAAACGGGGGAAATGAGTTAATAGGGAAAGCATAAATAGGTTGTGTTGGAGGAGAAAGAGTGAGAATAGTAACCATTAGATCTGTTGGGAACAGTCAGGCTCCCAGCCCCAAGTCCACCAAACATGTTCATTAACATCTCCAACCCCATATTGTTACCTGATATTCCAAGAACCACCACAAACCCACAGTGAGATGAAATTACATAATGACAAATAGACAAAAAGAGAAATGTTCATGCTGTCTTCTCACTTCCCATTTTATCATTATTTATTTTACTTTATTTTCTCGTGTGGAGGTACCAAAGGCTACCTAGTAGAGTACTTCCTCACCTTCTAAAGTGAAAGGTCGAAGGTTCAAGTCCCATTCAAGTAAAGTGGGTGTGTGAATTTCAACTAGGGGGGAAAAAAAAACAAACAATGGTATGGAGGTGATTTACATCACGAGAGATTCTACGTATGCAAGTCCCCATCATTGATCTAAGGATGCCCTTGCAATATCCACTTTCAATCTATTGAAGATTTACCACACGAAATTGTCATAATCAGGCCCTTCATTCTCCTGCCAATTGGTAGAATAAGTTTTGTGTACTAGTAAGAGGAGTGCCCTTTTCATACAAATTATTCCATTTTTTGCAGAACCCCTCTTTGGTAAATAAATCTCAAACTTATCCATCGAAGGAATGAGGGGGAAAAAAAAGGTAGTAGAGTGCATAGGAAGATCCCTGTAAAAAATCAATGCAAACAAGTTCCCTTCATAGTAATATAATAAAAATCATCTATTCTCGTGATTTAGAAATCAGAGATGGAATGGTTGGATAAGAAAAGGCTATGAAGTTTAATTAAAACAACAAACAACTTCATGAACCCAGTCCATTGAGGTAGCTTCAACGAGGCTACAGAAGAAACTGTATTACTCAAGAAGCACTAAGCATGATGGTAGAACAAATATTCCTGTAAACAGAAATTGGAGTTCTGGACGTAAAATAATACCTGCTGCCCCAGTAGTTTGACCTGGTTCCCTGCAAAAATACATCAATTATTACATCAAACTAAGAATAGGAACTGGGGATGATAACTGATATAAAAAATAAAAATAAAAAAAAAAGGAATGTTCCAACATACTGGGTTGACTGTTGCCGACCAATCTGAGAGAACATGGCTTGCTGTAAAGTCATGAGTTGCTGCAATAGAAAATAAACAACGAAAGAGAGAAATGGAAACATGAGGGGAAGTGGACAATAACCAAAATAATAATAATACAATAAGATGACTAGCAAATGCACTTGCATACGAAGGCCATTGCTTGTTATGTTATTTGTTCTAAAACAAACTAAAAGATTATCCCAAACCCACAACACAAAACTCAAGTGTGTGTGTGCAGGCGGGCAGGCAGTATGTGTCTAATTTGTAAAATATTATGTATTTTTCTGCATTATTGAACAGTTCCTTGCTATAATGCACAGGCCAGTAAAAATGAAATTTCTTGCCTGTTTACATGCAATGCAATCATGGAAGCAGATTCATCTTATTTTTCCCATGTCTTTTGTTGTAATTTGATTTTTTTCATTGTTCTAGAGATCTACTAGCCAATGATATTAAAGGGCATGATAAATTCAGATTGTGAAGAATATTCTCTCCCTTTTTAGCACTTGGACATTTTCCATATTCAAGAACATAAATATCACTAATCTGTTCAACGCATTGATTTGCCCTAGGAACCTATGTAAAACCATTTAAGTCTTTATTGTTATAAGTCATGTTAAGACTTGAGGTCCATTGTTTGGTGCGATGGCAGAAACTCGGATTGCAATCACGAGGACGCTAATTCAAGTCAGAGACATTTTGTGCCAAAAAAATTATTAGAAGCCTGTGATTCATCTTCGAGAATAGCTTTCTGTTCTGGGGGGAAAGACAGTTTACAAACACATTTGGTTGACAGTTTTCAGCAAAATGAGTAAAAATGTCTAATTTCAGAGAATGGTCATTTTATAGTTATTAATTTTTTCACAAATATATTTACGAGAGAGAGAGAGTAGTATACTCCTTGAGCAATTACCCGCATTGTCTCGGGGGAAGTTAACTGACGAATAAATTCTGGATTTTGCATCATCTCTCTAAGTTGGGGATTGGCATCTAGCATGCCACGCAGCTGGGGATTAAAACCAAGAATCTGACAACCAGAATATGTTAGTATAATAAAATTCACAAGAAAACATGAATATTATTGTATACAATAGTGGAGTAAATACCTGGTTCATGTACTGAGGGTTGGAGAGGAAACTTTGCATCATCTGTGACATAGCTGGATTTTGCATGACCTGATTCAGTGAAGTGGTATCCTGCATGCCACCTAACATGTCTGGTAGACCAAGTCCACCTAAGCCAGCAATTGCCGGTGGCCTAGCATCCCCAGCAGGATTTGACCTTGTAGTGGTGTTTGCTTGGGCACCTGCAGGTGCTAAATTCACATTAGGTTAACAACTTAGTAAAATTTGCGTAATTGCCTTTAAGAAGCCACCCTTAAAATAACAAACAGTGACAACAAATTTGTGATCCAAAGAAATCTTCAGTTACACTGAGAATTAACTAACTTAAAGTAAACACAACAAGAGATAGTTCTAACACAGATGTATAGCATCAATCTATTCAAAGAATAAGGTAGGATAAGACAAAGTTTTGTTTTGTGTGACATTATCTCAAAATATACCACTGAGTTGAGAGAGTTCATAGAAAATCACTAACTCAAATAAATAAATAAATGTAAAATACACATGCGTAAGAGGACGAGGCATAAGAGGAACAGGAAACAGATCAGAGGGCAAAGATGCTTCAACCTTTGGAAAAAACTCTTAAAAGAAACAAACATCATCAGGGGATAAAAACAAGGACTTAACTAAGAGATCACAATATCAAATGAAATAGAGGAGAGAGAGAGATGGAGATTTCGGCAAGTAGAGAGAGGACAAAGCCCTCGTGCCTTTTAGTTCAATATCCAGACGATTTTAGCGATCCAACAACATGGTTCCAAAATCCAACCACAGGTCTAAATGGACCAGCCTAAAGAGAACAACTTTGACTTAAAACAGTTTTTTTAGGGAGTCACCCAGACCGAAAAAACTCCTTGACAGTCCATGCAGTCAGATTGCCTGATCTGATCTGGTTCTTAAGCAACTGTCATACACAAGCCATTACTGTATATGAGACGAACTTTACCATAGAGATATTTCTACAAGATAAATTCAACAAAACAAAAAGGATATTAGAGATTCACTGTTGACTTTTGTAGCTAAGGCACTGAAATTTCAGATAAAAAATTTAAAATTATCTAAGAAAATATCTCTTTTGATCTTCCCACAATATAAGTGTTTAACTTCTAGATTACTTTTTTTTTTTTTTTTTTTTTTTTTTTTTGATAACTAGCTTCTAGATTACTTATTTAAAAAACACTTCTAGGTTGCATCGGGAAAGAAACAACACATCAGAATAACAAAGAGATGGAAAAGATCAGAGAGCAAAGAGGAAGAAGGATAATGAGGGAATCGCTGCTACAAAAGCAACATCCTCAAGAAAACAAGCAAAGAGAACGAAAATCATACCACCACCAGAGGCCCAAGGGTTGGGGAGTGGATTAGTATTCGGAGCAGGAGAATTATTAGTTGACTCAGAATCAGTAGTTGTAGGGTTAGTCGACTGATCTCTGCCCTGCCCCCCACCTTGGCTTCCCAAAAGAGCTGCAAATGGGTTTGAACTTAACTCATTTCTAGTATCCCCAGCAGCTGTCGTTGCATTCAGAAACGGCTCTTGAACATTTTCATACATGCGCCTGAGCATGTTAAATCCCTCAGGAGTGGATTCAATATTGCTCATTGCTCTGTCAGTATTGCGCATCATCTCACGCATAAGTTCAGGGTTTCTTGCAGCTTCCATTGTCTGTCGGAGGGTGCTAGGGTCATTGAGAATGTGGGCAAGCTCCGGATTCCGGTCAATAATTTCACGCATTTGAGGATTGTTCATAATCATGTTGCGCATAATGTCAGGGTTATTCATTAGGTTCTGAACTAGAGGCATGTTCATGATATCTCTCATCATGTTGGGATTTTGAGTCAGCTGTTGCTGCATTTGTTCAAAGTCTGGAAGTCCAGCTCCAAAAAGACCACCACCACTGCCGCCTAACCCATTCAAACCAAGTCCAGGAAATAGTGAGGCTCCAAGACCAGATCCTCCAAATGCACCACTTTCATCAGAACCAACGCCCCTTGCTACAGCTGGAGTAGTATTTGGAGCTCCAGTATTGGTTGCACCGGTACTGTTGGCTGATGCAGCTGTTGTAAAACCACGAACCATGTGGACAGTGTGATCTGCCTCCAAACCTGTTTTCGCCATATACAGAAAAGGAACAAAGATAGATCAGATTTAAGTGTACTACACTTTGACAGTTCGCAATTATGCCATTTAATTGAAACCAGTTTCTATTCCAATATCCATCCATGTATTTGACCAAATGCAGAAACAATTACATCTGTACATGCATATGAACAATCAAGCTGCCTATTGAAACAGAAGTGAGAAGTTGCCAATTGAGATGCTAAAAAAGAGATTTTAAGAGCGCTAAAGGGCAGTACAGAAGGATCATCAGAACTACAAACTCAGAATGGAATGAGTTCTTCTTGTATAAGACCAAAACAACCATCATGAATTCAAGTTGATGTAGCTCTTTCTCATGGTAAACAGGGTTGATAAGAAACAACACCGTAACTTTTTTTCAAGCTTCACTTAACAAAGATCACAAGAGGTTAAGAATACGTTGTAATTTAGGAAGATATAAAATTGACATACAATATATTTTTATTTAAAACATACCATGAGAATTAAGCTAATTTTGTGGATATGAATCTCCCTTGGTAAAGGGATGGTTTCAATTTTTCCCAAAAAAAAAAAAAATTGTTGCACCCATTAGGTAGTGGTGGAGGGTGTCGTCTAAACAAAGTGTAAGAAGGCAGCAAAGTAAATGAATAACTTGTTTTCATAATGTAGCATGGCAAGGGATTGAGGAATGAATAAATTTTCAACCCAGAGTAGGTAAGTGTGGATTAATTTAGATTTTGATTTGCTCCTGAAGCAGAGGGATGGAGTAAATAAGCACAAAAGAAGCAGATTAATTAACACCCCTAATGTTTGTCTAATGCTTGTCTATTGCTTGGCTGGATGAATACCATAGCTTTTGTAAGCCTAAAAAAATGCTCACTCTTTTGTGGACCTGCTGGTGGTAAGACTTCACTCTGTTAACTCATTTTTTTTCCAGATTTTCTAAGGAATTCGATAGCAGTAGCTCTTTTGTGGCAATCCTAAGTCCTCTTAGTTTCTAATAGATGTACTTCTTATTTGTTTTCATACCATGCATATACGTGGTTCTTGCTCAGGCCCTTGTTTTTTGAATAAATAGAATAAATAGTACAGTTTTATTCTTTCCTTTTTCTAAACAAAAAACTACTTCACTATTTATCAAACATTTTAGCAATCCCAATGACTTCCTAACAAAATTGAAACCACAATGAAGCATGAAATCCTATCAACTATTTTTGCTCTTGCAATATTTGGCCTCCCTATTGAGACACAAATAAGTATCTATTTACACATGTATTCACTTAACTTAGTGAGGCTTGTCTTTATCATGCGCACCATTAAATTAGCTACTTTTTACCACTATTATCATGATAGCAAGACATCAAATTGTTTGAAATAAGAGTAAGTGGTTGACTCCAGCATTCCTCTTTCTCCTTATAAGATACTAGAATAAAACTCTAATCTAGAGGGTTATGTCAATACAACTCCAAATCACCATTCACCTTGAATTTACAAGGGGTATCCAATCAACAAGTTGATTTTGCAAAAGATAAATGCTACAAAAAGTCATCAAATTCTTCGAACCACAAGTAAATATTATCCCAAAAATTATGTGCACATGGAAATGAATGCATTCTAATCCCTCAATCAAATTCAAGCCTTTCACTGCATTCCATAAAACAACAAAATCACAATTAACCCGGCATCAACAAATACAAATATATATGTTATATATATATATATATATAACAATTCCTCAGTAAAACAAAAAATGCACAAATCAACCAACAATACATTCACAACACATAAAACCGTGATCAACCCCCAAGTATAAAAACTCATCTGATTCAAACAAAAACCAATTCGACACCAAATGCTTATAAACCAAATATATATAGTAAGAATCAATCAAAATACCGTAGCTTTCTAGGGTTTGATCGTCCTTCAAGATCCGGCCCTTGTAAATCAACCGCTGCTGATCGGCGGGGATGTCGCAGTTCTGAGCGAGCACGGACTTGAACGATCCGACAGCGGAGTCGAGGCTGACCTGCACAGAGAACTTGGAGCCATTGGAACATCGGATATGGATGGTGACCCCTCCACCGCCGGTGGAGTTCGATTCGCTAGCGTCGACCGTCGTAGCACCATCACCGCCCATACTCGTCGTCGTCCTACTCCCCAAAACGGTAATAGCTGCGTTCGATCGATCGATCGATCGACCAAAGGAATTGAGAGTTTAGCCCTAGAAATTGAGAAGTCGATTGCTGATTTTGGTTCGTTCGGACAATGATGGAGAGAGAAGACAGAGAGGGCTTCTATGCAGTAATTCTCAAACACAAACTACTTGGAGGAAAAATTATATATTTATTATATATAGATACACATATACACACAGTCACACACAGATATGTAAATATATACTAATATAGAGTGATAAACAAACGGTAAATCGGAGGTGACGTAGTCCACCGAAATGGGGAAGGTATTATACTTATACGGTTTAGACCTTTTTTATTTGATGAAATGTGGTTCTATCATGGACTCGAAGCAGGTTAAAATTGCGCTATTGGTCTGTGCGTTTGTTGTTACGCATGACTTTGTAGTTTTATTGGTCCTACTTTTTAGTAATGATTTTTTTCATTTTTTGTTACCCACCAATTTTATTTCTGTGGGGTCCGCTTGTCTCTCTGTATTTTATTACTCCGTATTTATCACGGCCACTAATTCATCTATTTTTTATTTTAAGAAATAGAGGAAATAATTTCAGAGTATACCTTTTTTTATTTTTTTAAATCGATTGGGTTCTTTTTTACAATATATATATTCTTTTCATCTTTCTTTTAACAATTTTGTTACTTTTATTTTTATTTTTTAATGAAAAATACAACTTAAAACATTTTCGTTTTTTCTGGACAAACAACTCACACACTCATTTCATTTTGGAAGGTTGAGAATATGCAACACTGGAGTTTATTTTGCAGTAGTAGGCTAGTAGCTATATTGTTCCTTTATTTATTTTAGGTTAAACTGTGAAAAAAAAAAAAAAAAAAAAAAAAAACACCAGTATTTAATATGTGTACATAAATTCCTAACATTTAAAAATATGTACAAATTGCACTCTAACATTTGTTGACTATCAATTTTTGACATTATTTTTTTTTTAATCAAAACTCCAAATAGGCATATAGCCCTAATATACCCTTAAAAACTAAAACAAGTATTTTATTTTATTTTATTATTATTATTTTTTTGTCTTAAAGATATTTTATATATATCAGTCTGCCAATTGATAAAATATTCTTATTTGATCAAATTAAAAATTATAAAGGGTTCTCTTGACCACCAATTTGCATATTTTTATCCAATAGTTTTTTTTTTTTTTTTTTTGAGCACTTCACCCTTGAACCTTATGGGAAAAAGAAAAGAAAAAAAACAAAAAGTGTTACTCATCAATGGTTTCCTATTTTTCTTTTTCTTTTCTTTTTTCCTTTGAAAATGACCTTTTTTTATATATATATATACCATTTGGTATCAAAAGTGATTCAATTGGTCAATGCATGATGTTGTTGGTTCTTGTATTATATTATAAGTTTTTTCTGTTTCTTTTTTATTGTACATAAAGGGGTGTATCCATCATTTGAGCAATCACCTTCTTCTACAAAACATGTTTACACCCTCAGTCCTATCTCTTTTTTAAAACTTCAATTTGGTAGTGTTTTTTACTCTTTCAAAATAAAATAAAAAAGTGTCAAAAAAATAATAATAAATTAAAAAATAAAAAAAAAAAACTGGCAAAGATTTGATCAATCATCAAAATTAAAGCATGTTGTCTAGTTCTCAAACATAGTAGTATAGTAGCTCTTTTTATCTTTGGTTAGTCCTTTAATGTATTTTTTTTATTTTTTTACTTTAGTAATTAAAATAAAAATTTATTTTTATCATACTTACCACAATTCAATTTCTAACCTTAATAAATCAAATGACCAAACTTCACCTTAGTTCAAAAGCTTTATTTGAGGCAATGACACTGATAAATAAAACTGATAGGCAAAACTTGTTTGGTTTGTCACTAAAAAAAAAAAAAAAACAAAAATGTATTTTCAGAAAAGTATAAGGCTCCGTTTGTTTCACCATAAAATATTTTTCGTTGTTTGGAAGACTTCAAGGTTAGGAAATTATGTTTCATGTAAATTATTTTACTCTCCGTTTGTTTCGAAGTAAAATATTCTTTTTGAAAAATATTTTTTTTTCAGGTAAAATTTTCTTTTATTTTTACTTTGTCGGTGTTTGGCAAAAGTTTACATCTAGGTTGAGGTCGAATTCATCGGGTGGGGCATATAAAATAACTTGCCAAAAATTGATAGATAAGTTATTTTTGTTAAATTTTAATATATTTTTTCTTCGTAAATATTTTACGACGACCAAATACCAGAAAATAAAAAATATTTTTTGAAAAATATTTTACAGTCCAAACAAACAAAGCCAATCATTAAAAATGATTTACCAAAAAAGTTTTGCAAGTTATTTTCCACAAGCTACCTCGGGTGATCTAACTATTTTTATTCTTATTGAATCTCTATGTCCATCTAACAATTAATATTTTTTATTCCTCTCAATCTAAAAATCTAATGTTCAGTCTTCTCTCTCTATATGTATACATAGAGTGAGAAAAGAGAGACAAATTTGGAATGGTCGAAAAAACCGATTTGGGTCGAGAACATGTTGTGGTATAAGAAGAGTGGAAAGAGATAGTAATGAGAAGGAGAGGGAGGAATGGTTTAGCGTAGAGAGAAAAAGTTAACGAGGAGAGAGAAAGGGGGATGGTTTAGGGATTTTATTCTTCGTTGGTGAAAAATATTGAAGAAAGAGGGTTAGTTGTATACAAAAATTGATTTAGAAAATATTTTATGAATAGTTGCCAAAAATTGAAAAATAAAAAATAAAAAGAATATTTTATATGAAAATATATTTTATGAGAAAAACATTTTACTTCCGAAACAAACAGAGCCTAAAAGAGAATTACTTTAAAACAAATATCTTTTAAACTATTTTTATAATTTCATGTGGATTACTGTTGTTAAAATTACAATGAATCCTATTGGGTCCGGCCCCATAGTCCAACATGTTAAAGTCAGTTGACCAATTGCAGCTAATTAATAAGGCTAGAAGCCCAATCACTTTTATCTACCATTTCTTTCCCAACAAAATTGGAGTTACAAATCTGACTAAGGCCCAAACCATACTCTTCAAAATCTAAGTCACATAATTATTTTTAATAAATATCGTCGTCACGTTCCGAGTATGTTCTATTCTTATTCTCGCTCAAATTTTCATTATTCAAATTTTCATTACACTTAACTATGTGAAGCTTTCACTCATGCTCCGTGACTTAATTCACAATGGCTTCATCATTCATCTTCAGTCTCAATTTAATTTTCTATTACGGCCCTATTTTGACGAATTTTTTTTTTTTTTTAAACCATTCTGTTGTTTGGTTGCCATGAAAACAAGAAAAGTATTTTACTTGTAAAATGTTTTCCTTAATATCCGGTAAAACAACTTCACTGCAACTTCGGAAAGCTATTTTCATTTTGACGCGCGATCAATTCGACAATAGCCCCCCAACTCTATTTACCTCTGAAACCGATCGACACAGCAAAAACTTCCACTCTCTCTCCTCTCACGAGAACACTACTCTCTCTTCACACCAGCGAAATTTTCCTCTCTCTCTCTCCAGTCTGCAAATTCTGAAACCCTAGATCATTATCGACCCTTTTTAATACTTGCGTTGTGAAACCCTAGACGAAAGCTTGAAATTCCAGTTTGTTCTTCTTCATCCTCGAAAAACAGGTATCAACACTATATTTTTGTATATCTTCATATATTTTGTGTATTATCAAAATTATGTATTAATTTTTCTTAAGAAACTCTTTAGAAATTCTATTATATTTCTGATTTCCACATCAAGCATATTGGAATTGTTTTGAAAATAATGGTTTTTCGAAAAGATATCAGTAATGTTTAATCCAAAAATTGTTTCTGGATGGGATTGTCTTCTCTTCTAATTGGGGGTTAAAATGTGCCCATTTTTTTCTGGCATGAGAGGACTGCTTTAATTGTTGTAAGTGCTATATTGGGTGCTCTGTCTTGCTGATTGTTCTTTTTTTAAAGCTTTGAGGACTATCAGGTTCAGTGCTTTTTCCTGGATGAATTTTTTTTTTTTTTTTTTTTTTGATAAAAAAAAATTTAAGAATGTGTTGTGTGTGGGAATTAGTGCCAAAGTAATGTATTTTTATGCTAGCATGTTAGATATTTAGAAAATCATCAGAATTTGCCCTTTTTTCTGGATATACTAGTGCCAAAGGAATGAAGCATAGTGCCTATTTGCGATATGAGCTTCAATGAATAACCCATTGTCTTGAGTGGCTGTCTTAGATAGATGGTGTGAAGGTGTAGAACTTCTAGATAGATGTTTTGAAGGTGTAGAACTTAGGTTGTGTTTCAATTATATAGAGAGGGGGTTGTCACATGTTATGTGCAGGCAATGATAAGTGACAGAATGGAATTCAATTGGGGAATCCAAGGGGATGCAAATTCTGTATTAAACATGATTTTTATCTCTAATTGCTCTTTGTTAACTATATTGATATTGGATTACTGGTCAGTCGAATTGAGAGTTGAGACTAGATTGATCACATGAAATCACTAGCATGTTGTATCTTACACAGCCACATAATGGGAGTTGATCCAAATGACGAGATTATGCAAGACACCAACCATGAGTTTCGAACCGAAAGACAAATACTCCAACACACATAGAGAAGAGAGGGCAGAAAGTAGGGAGCTGGCAATTAGAAGGGATGCCATAGCCCATGCTATGTATAACGAGTACATAAATGGAAGGAGTTTATAAAGATCGTTGTGGTTTCTTCGTTTTTTTTCCTTGCTAGTGCTATTTGGATTGGTTGATCATTTTTTCTTTGATAGTCAGTTGGCTGTGTTGAAGTTGGTCGCTTTGCTTAGTGTGGAGGATGGTTGTATGTAGTCATTTGGCAGTGTTGGATGCTTTTATGTTTCAGTTGAGTGGAACAGAGACGAGGATGAATGGGATGCAATCACAGTCAAACATGAAGCAGCAAGTCCAGATTTTGTGGGAAGTCCTGATCATGTGATTGATGAATTTGAGTAACTTGAAGATAGAGGGCTCATATTTGCATAAAGTGGTTCCTGATTTGAGATACTTTGAGAAGTTTAGATGAAACCAGATAGATGAATTTCAATATGAAGAGGTTGTTGAGTGGAACAGAGATGAGGATGGATGGGATGCAATTGGGATGCAATGACAGACAAAGCATTTTATCAACTGAGTTGCTACCCAATTGTGCCTCTTCTTCTTGTTTCATTGTCATTTTTATGGATGTTATGTATGTATATTGTGCTGCACAATGAAGGAGAGAACAATGTCATTACTTGTGGCTTTCTCATTGTGTGCTATTTAGATGTGACCCAATTGACTAATTGAACCATACACTTTCCTGTCATCCTTCTGATTTCAGTTATTTTATATATCTTATTTTTTTTATAATAAAATTTAGGGAAACCAAGAAAAAAAATGCTTGATTGAAAGATCAAAGAACGTGACCTAATGTTCGTTTTTACTTTTATTATAATTTTTAAAAAAAACTATGGTAGGTCGATCCAGAAGGAGATTATTGTTGGGTCTTGGCCCTTTTGTCTATGGTCATGTTTGGCAATAAATATTTAATTTTTTTATTTAATTGTCTTTCTTTTTCTTTTATTCCATGACCTCAAATCTCCAATTGTAACTTTGTAAGATATATATATATACACACACGCACACACACACACTTTAATTTACCAAAAAGAAAAAGAGTAATTTTTTTGCATCGGAGGATGTGCTTTCTGAAGTATAAACTTCATTGCCAAACATCGGAAAATGAAAATTTTTAGTATGCCATAATTAAGCCAACACTCATACATGTTAGTTGGAAAAATCATTGTTGTCACAAAATTAAGCCAACAAATATTTTGGTTTGGTTTGGCGTGACATTAAGATGACCTAAGAGTGATTGCAATATGTCGAAGCAAACACATTAGTGCTGGGGGATAATATTTGTCTATTATTACTGCTCTGGTAATATGATGCCTTTTTTTATATCAGGTTTTAGCAACAAATGGCAACAGAAAAAAGTCAATCCGGAAACCCATCATCTGCTGCCCCGATTCCAGCAGTCGCTTCATGTCGAAAGAAGAAGTCGGAAAGTTCCACTTTCTTGGAGGATGTAAAGGACCACATTGATGAGTTTGTTCATGCTTCTATGGATGAACACACGACTTGCTTTAAAAAGACCATTGTAAAGGTTAGTCGCAACTTCCATGCCATTTCCAGAACTTTTGCTTGACTGCATAATCTGTTTGTCAGTGATGATCCACTATTTTGGGTGCGTTTTCAGATGTTTGGAATGTCAAAAATTGTCGCAGAAAGGAATTCCAACATGAAGGAAGTTGAGAGCTCTTTGCCCCTTCAAACAACTGTATCTGACTAGAATGTCTCATGTTCTTTAATAGCTTGATATCATAGTTGAAAACAAAACTTACAGCATTTTGCGATGGCATATGTTTGATCATCATGGATAAGTAAAGTTTTGAAGAGTTCTGCAATTTTGCAAATGACAATCTTATCTACTACTGAATCGATGTGAGATCGATTTTATTATGGATTGTTTATGTTGTCGTGGACTGTATCATGCAGAATCTTTGTCTGGAAATGAAATGAGAAATCAACATATGAGGTGCTACATAGTTAGATGTCATGACTCATGGGGTCACTTTTTTGTTCATCTACCTCTATACTTGGGGAAGGGCACTTGGCCGTTCTCGACGTCCTCCACAAGGATTTCATAATGCCTCTTCACTTCCGCCGCAGTTTTCCCTCCAACAGAGCTAGCCCCGGCGACGTTGTGCCAACGGTCAGGGGTGTCCTTGTCATACACAGCCAGAGCCTTCTCAATGGCTTTGTTCTGCTCAGCAGTCCGGTAGCCAGAGCTAGCGGCGGGAGGACATTAGGTGGATGCCATTTGTTTTCCGGAAAGGAAAACGAGGAAGGAATGGAACAAGGTGAAAGGAGAAGGAAATGGAAAGGAATAGCTTACTGGGGTGCACAGAAAGTATTGGAATTATTACTCTATTTAGATTATAGTACTCAATTATGACAATTTTTTATTGGAATAGAATTGGAATTCTCAAATTTAAATATTGTGAGCTGAATTAGAATATTTTTAAAAATTAATTTAAGTAATCAAAGTGGTTAAATCTGTTTATTATGTGTGTCAATAAACTAATGCAGTTTTGATACATTTAATATATATGATTAAGAATGTAAATCAAATAACTAATACAAAGTTAAAACATGAATTTTTGTTCGGTATCAGAAACGGAAATCCATGGTTTTTACCGTTGATTTTAGTCCAACAATGGTAGACAAACATAATATCGTGTTTGAATTCATTGTATATGTATCTTTTTATCGCATAGCATGTAGTTATGGCACGTGAATCATTTTAAATGTTCTAATCACATCTCTATTTAAACCTAATAATTTGTTTTTGTTACTTTTATTATAATATTAAATTATGCATTATATTCTTTTTTCTTAGTTGATATTCACTCATACACACGTGCCTCTACTGAGGGTCGAACTCCTAACCTCGCTTTGAAAAGTAGGAACTTAGTACCAGTAGGCAACTGGCGTGTTAGTAATTATGCATTACATTTAAATTTTACAAGAATAGTGTTAGGTAAACTGATTCAATTTAGATGGAATAATCTGTGTCTGCGTGATGTGAAAAGATTGCATGCGTACGGTGGTAAGAATCTCGACATGCCATTACAAAAGAAAAATTGAAAAAAATTAAAATTATTTTTCATTTTATAAATAATAAAATCACAATGACAAAAATATTATTGTACAAATAACACGCGTGGATTTGGCCAGGTTGAGCATATTAACTTGACCAAAGAGCTTAATCTTAAAGGAATTGTTTAATGACAATACTTTTATTTTAAAATTTTGACTTGTACTAAATACAGTCGCAATTATGCAGATACAACCCTTATATGTTGTAGGATTTATAGAATTCAACAATTGTATTTGTGTAGTCGTGACAATCTTGCACTTTGACATTCCTCTAAATCTTAAATGAGTGTTCGAGAATTTTCTAATAACACTGTGCAAATGAGACAAAAGAGATAGTATGTGTTGCATGTCTTTGGCATTCAACCCGATGTAATTTAAGAGATCCGACACAATTATTATTGATATATTTATTTATTTTTAGTTTTTTGGTTTTTTTGTTTTTTATAAAAAAAAATAAAGCAAATCAGGGAAGGAGCCTAAATAGCCAAACCGTATAAAGTGGGGAGTGGACTAGGGTGCATCCTTTTCGCACTCATTCGCCATAAAAGGCAAATCACAGTGACAAAATAAAATAAATTAATTGATAGTGTAATCTTTTAGGCACATAGGATTACATGGTCAAAACAATTGGCACAATTAAATCTAGGCACATTCATGGGACATCTGTTTTCGACATATTCAAAATGAAAAAGAGTCCGATCTTAAGTGCAAGTAGATATTAGATGTGTCGTGTATATTATATTATTAGTATATATTTCTATCAAATATAACATATTATTTCATTATTAGTAATTTTTTAAGTAGGAATGCCAAATTTTTTTTTGAAGTAGTGCGTTGTTATTGAGTGAGTATATCAATGACGTGGCGTGCAATGCGTATTCAATATCTATTCCTTAAAAGTATGGTCTTATAACAAGCTTTGAGCAAAACAATGATTTATAGGCTGAAATCTCATGGATCTTTATGTATCGGTTAACTTAATTCAAAGTTTGTACTTTAAGTTTTTGTTTTGAGAATTTTTCGATGATAATATCGATCATATGAGATAAAGGAATTGTATGTGCCCGACACTGAAAAAAAAATAATTTAAGAACCTCAAAAAAAAAAAAAAAAAAAAAAAAAAAAAAAAAAGAAAAAAAAAAGGAGGAGCCTAAATAGCCGACAATAGAAAGTGCGAGTGGACTAGAGCGCCATTCCTTCTCTCTCTCTCTCTCTCTCTCTCGCACACACCCACCAAAAAAAAGCATATCAAAGGCAACTCCAAAGGCGAAACCGAATCAACACTTAATTTGAAAGCAACGTCACATGCCACATGCATAGCAGATGACCGTTAGGGACCAATATACAAGTCGTTGCCACACACCATTCAACGGACAGATTTCACTAGCCGTTGGATTTGAAAAAAGACAGGTATCAGCAGACAAATACCCCATTATTTCCGTCCAAAGTCTTCTCTACACTACACTCCCTTCCTTTTTATTCACTTCCTTTTCTTCTTCTTAAAACCAAGTCTGTAGATTTAGGGTTCCACATGCTCTTTGTCTACATTCTAGGGTTTGAAATTCTTTGTTCTTGTTGAATAACAGGTCTCTGTGTCTTCTTGGGTTGTGATTCATTCTTCGGATAATCAGAGATTATGGATTTATCTGATGAGAACAATCATAGTCTGATTAGACCAACAAACTTACAAGGTAAACTATTCAAACCTGATCTAAAAATGTAGCTCAGTTTGAACATTTTTTTAACACATTTAACTTGGAATTTAGCTACAAAATCCGAGTTTTTGAAATGGGTTTTTGAGAATTTGTTCTTCTTCTGTTCAATAATGTAGCTTAGTTTGAACATCTTTAATACATCTAATTGGAATTTAGCTACAAATTCGGAGTTATTGAAAAGGGTTTTTGAGAATTTGTTCTTCTTCTGTTTAATAATGTAGGTTAGTTTGAACATTTTGAACACGTTTAAGTTGAAATTTAGCTACAAATTTCTAGTTTTTGAAATGGGTTTTTGAGAATTCGTTCTTGTACTGTTTAATAATGTGGCTAAGTCTGACAATTTTGACACATTTAAGTTGGAATTTAGCTACAAATTCCGAGTTTCGAAATGGGTTTTCTGAGAATTTGTTCTTCTTGTGTTTGATAAAAGGAGGAGCAGAAATGGGTACCAGGAAGTTTGGTGTGGAGATTAAGAACAACCGAAGAAGAGCTTTGAGCGTGATTAATCAGAGCTTAGTGGCAGCTCCTTCATATCCCTGTGTTGTTAACAAGAGAGTCTTGTCAGAGTAATTCTCAGTACCATAACCTCAAGATTTATCTATAGAATATGGATATATTTGATAATAACTAACATAATTATTTTTGGTTTCCAGAAAAAATGTAGTCTGTGAGAAGAACCCTCCCAATCCAGTCCATCGACCAATTACAAGGTTCCAAGATATGACCATTTTGCTTTTGATTTTTCATTCCTTTTCTTAATCTGGAAAGCTAATTTTTTTCCCCCTTCAATTTTTGGGATCTGAATGTCATCTTCAATTTGTTCTAATTTGGTTCTACATTGATTCTTATATAGAAAATTCGCGGCGCAAATGGCAAGCACACAAATTTGCCCTCAGGTACCGCCTCTCTCCCTCTCTCTCTCCCACACACACATATAAAACAGTTAATTGTAACATCTAATCTAATAAGTATTGCGTTTGTATAATTTTGAGCAGGAAACTAAGAAACCAAAACCATCAGATGTTAAGCTTAGTGTTTGGGAAGATATTCCAATAACAGATGTGGAGGAACACAATGCAGCTACAGACCACCCTGAGCCAATGTTTCTGGAACAAATTGATGCAGTACTAGGTGAAGAGGATCATATGGTATATCTCTCTCGCTCTCTCTATATATATTTCTACATTAATCAGAAATGGGAAGTTTATATCAAATAATTGAATCCTTAAATTTCATAGGAGGAGGTAGAAATGGAGGATATATTTGAAGATCCCGTTATGGATATCGATAACTGCGATGCCAAGAACCCACTCGCAGTTGTTGACTATGTACAAGATCTCTTTGCCTACTACAGAAAAATGGAGGTAAGATATTAAGCTTATATGCATATAGTTCCACATTAATTGCATATTATGTGTTGTCAATGTTGTGTGAATTTTTGCAAGCTCTAGCACCAAATAATATGGAAATCATCAAAATTTTGAAAGATTAGAATTTTGAATTTGTTTGAGATTTTTTGTTTTTGAAGTGATAGAATTTAATTTTATTAAATTTCCTAATACAATTTTGGTTTCCTTTTTCACCTAATTTGCTTCCATATGATTAAAGGATATGATAAATGCACTCCCCCTTTCAACCAAATGCACTTCAACACCTCTTTAACACTTCACTGTTGCAATGAAATGACACTAGTGTCCCTAACTCATAAACAGAAAGCTAAGTATTAGGGGCATTTTTTTCATTTACGTTAAGAAAAAGACAAGAACAAGGAGTGCATTTGGTTAACATCACTGTAACAGTGGTTAGAAAATATTTGGTGACACAAATATTCATGTTGTTGATGGAAAAAGGAGAAATAACCAATTTTGCACCTTGTTTTGATGACTAAAACTAACACCTTGCTCTTTGTGCAGAGTTCTAGCTGTGTTTCACCAAACTACATGGCACAGCAATCTGACATCAATGGGAATATGAGGGCTATACTAATTGACTGGCTTATTGAGGTATTCAATGGGTGATCTGGGATGCCTAATCTTAGCTTATTCAAAATGTCGTATAACATCCTGTGATTTTTCACTCATTCATCCACTCATTCAAAATGAACAGGTACACCACAAGTTCGATCTCAGGGACGAAACGTTATTTCTGACTGTTAATCTTATAGACAGATTTTTGGCTCAACATGCCATAATAAGAAAGAAACTTCAATTGGTTGGTTTGGTTGCCATGCTCTTAGCATGCAAATATGAGGAAGTTTCTGTACCTGTTGTGGATGATTTCGTCTTCATTTCAGACAAGGCTTATACGAGGAAAGAGATCCTTGAAATGGTAATAATACATTGATCTTGTGATTACAATGAGAGTTCAAATTGCATTACCTGCTCTCTATGGTTAAGTAATTTATACCATTACAATGCTGCAGGAGAGGTTGATGTTAAATACCTTACAGTTCAACATGTCGGTTCCAACCCCTTATGTCTTTATGAAAAGATTTCTCAAGGCCGCCCAATCCGATAGGAAGGTTAGTAGTGGTAGTAGTACTTAAATATGCATCAACAGAAGCGTCGTGATTTTAGTGGTAAATACTTACTTCTTCATATTATGATCTCACAACAGTTCGAGCTCCACTCTTTTTTCATGATCGAGCTTTGCCTCGTGGAGTATGAGATGCTCAAGTTTCCACCGTCCTGTTTGGCTGCCGCTGCAGTTTACACTGCTCATTGTACCCTCTACGGCTTTAAGCAATGGACCAAGACCTGCGAGTGGTACACTAACTACTCAGAAGATCAGCTGTTGTGAGTCATTGTCATGTCACCATTTTGTTTCGAGTTGTACACTAACTAATCAAGTACTAATTGAGTTGTGATTCGTGTTCGTTTATTGTTTGATCACAACAGAGAATGCTCGAGGCTGATGGTGAGTTTCCACCAGAAGGCAGCGACAGGGAAGCTTACCGGGGTGCACAGAAAGTACTGCACATCTAAGTTCGGTTATGCAGCAAAATGTAAGCCTGCGCATTTTCTTGTAGAGACTCAACAAGAAGCAGGGCATGTATAGTGACTACTAAGTACTAACTTTGTGTGACTTGTGTAACTGGAGTGAAATTTAAATTGGGGTGGTGGGAGGGGACAATAATTCAGCAACCTGGGTTGCCCCTGGGAATTAATTTTTAAGCTTTGCAGTCATGGTTGTCAAATGTGCATACAGCCGCGGCTGTTCACACAAGTTCGATTTGAACATAGCCTCTGTTCCAATTTATTTGACAATAATTGAAAGATTTTATCCATTTATATCGTATAACTGCTGAATCAGAATTGTCCATTTATCGTCTCTGTATGCAGGCAATACTGAAAATTCAAAACCCTAGAAGTAGTCCATGGGAGCTAGCTAGTCCAAATCATATGCATCTTACTCCATTTAGATTATAGTGCTTAATTATGACAATTTGTGATTGGAATAGAATTGGATACTACTCTATTTAGATTATAGTGCTCAATTATGACAATTTGTGATTGGAATAGAATTGGAATTCTCAAATTTAAAATATATACTCATTGTGACTAATTTGCAATAATTTTGACAATCCAATTTTAATCACTTATGGTTCAACCAGCAACTTCTGTAAAAATAATCTATTGCAGATTCTTTCCTACACATATCATGATATCTTTTAATTTTTAGCTGAATGTTTATAGCCAAACATATCCATTGCAGATTCATTTTTAGCTGAGGTTGGAAGGTTATTTGTTTGTTTTTTTTTTTTTTTTTGAAAGTACATAATTTCAACTATTTTTCATAACAAAAAGTGAAGAAGTTTTTCCTTCAATCCAAACAATGCTTAATCCTTTTTCTCCATAATCCAATTAGGATACATGATGTCATAGCGATATCATACGGTGAGGCACACTTCACTCACAAAAAACAAAAATCATTCGAATCCTCCAACCGGGAGCATAAATTAATCCTTTTTTTCTTTCTTTCTTTTTCTAACTATTTGCTTTGCCTTGCCAATAAGGAAGCAGGTTAATATTGGTTGAAAAGAAAAGAAAGTTGAAGGTTTTCACAAAGAAAAAAAGACAAAACACAAAAAAGAAAAAAAGCAGCATGTATTTGACCAATGTAAACAAAACATGTATAATAAGCATATTTTATAAATTTATAATATAGTAATCTTAATATGGGTATTGATATTGCATAATTGCAATTTCAAGTTTCACTCAAACGCCCATGCATTCTCCCTACGGACCTCCTCTTCTTCTTCAGGAGTGAAGTCGTTCTTAATGTTAAAAGTGCTGCGAATCTCTTCTGGAGTCTTTCCTTTGATCATGTCCGCCACTTTTTGACATGTCAGATCTAACAAGCTCTTGATGTCCAAATAGTTTGCAGCCAAGATGAAATCGAAGAGGATGGCCTGGTCACTTTGACGAAGTTGGCATCAAAGATTTTGATAACATTGTTGGAAGTATTTTCTTCGGACTTGGGGGTCTTGACATGCTTCCTGCAGTATTCGATGATCTTGGACAAGATGTTGCCGGTGACGTTCGGAAGAGGAATGATAGAATCGGCACAATCGTCTTCGATCATGTGCTTGATTGTCTGTGACTCCAACGCCACAACCTCTTCCACCTCGAAAGTTTCACCATCTGAGCTTCTCAACAAAATCAGCTTTGAAGTGGACATGATGAATTTCTAACCTTAGTGAAAGAGAAAGTTGTGAGATATACGGATTGAAAGCTATTCAAACCACAGAAGTGAGAAAATTACAGAGCAAATATGATATGGCATACTACTATTTAATCCCATTATAAACTAATTTCATCGTCAGATTAATATACTACTATTTATTTAGACATGCTACAATAATTTTCAATCAATCATAATACGCAAAGTTACATGTATATATAAGTATACAATACAAGATTAACTTGCCTGGATAACGCTACACTATCTCTTCTTTTCTACGCAAATCCTTGGCCACCAATTCTCCTTCCTGCTACTGCAGAAGGTGTGGAATATCAGTAACTTCTCTCTCTCTCTCTCTCTCTCGTTCTCTTTCTTCGGGGTGGGTCATTACAAATGGTATTAGAGCTTAACCTAGTTGAAAGAAGGAGGGTAATTGTGGCAATCGTTACAAATGGTATTAGAGCCTGACCCAGTTGGAAGAAGGGGGGTGATTGTGGCGACCTTGTGGGTGGGTGCGAGGTACTGGCAGACTACCACACTGGGCGAGTTACGGTTACAAATGGTATTAGAGCCTGACCCAGTTGGAAGAAGGGGGGTGATTGTGGCGACCTTGTGGGTGGGTGCGAGGCACTGATAGACTACCACACTGAGCGGGTTATAGGCGCACAATCCCACATCGCTTAGGTAAAGGAAAGATGAAGTGCTTATTTATGGTGGCGTTATCTCCAATTGGTATGAGATCTTTTGTGGTAAAAGTCAAGAGCAAAGCCGTGCAGGCTTAGACAAAAAACGGACAATATCATACCATGTGGTGGATTGGGTAATGTATTCTTTCTTGAGATTTTTGGATCAAATGATATCAATAAGACATGCCAATTGTATTTATATCATGCGGTGAGTCCCACACCTCACTTCACACAAACACACAAAAAAACTAATCCTCCAAGTGCATAAATTCATGGTTTATTTTGTTCCCGAATATAAGTACACAACTATGTCCAACAGTACACCTTCATAATAAATTTGGAACTCTTTTGATTTATCTACGAGTTTTTTACACAACTATAGCCAATAGGACACCTTTATAATAAATTTTGAACTACTATTATTTATCTAGTTTTTTCTTTTCTTTTTGTGCCTTTAAATATTACATATGATATGATTAGTCTCTCGTAATGAGTCCTCAAATTTATATCGAGTTCTATTTATCCGCATCCAATTTATTTACAAGGTAAAATTATTAACGTATCCAGTTTTATTTCTCCGAACCAATAAACTCCCTGATTAATCAGTAGAAAAAATAGGGATTAATCCTTTTTTTCTTTCTTTCTTTTTCTAACTATTTGCTTTGCTTTGCCAATAAGGAAGGTTCATATTTGTTGGAAAGAAAGTTGAAGGTTTTCACAAGAAAAAAAGAAAAAAAGCAGCATGTATTTGACCAATGTAAACAAAACACGTATGTTATAAATTTATAATATAGTAATCTTAACAATCTTAACATGAATGACATAATATAGTAATCTTAACATGGGTATTGATATTTGTATAATTGCAACTTCAAGTTTTACTCAAACGCCCATGCATTCTTCTTATGGATCTCCTCTTCTTCTTCTGGAGTGAAGTCATTCTTAATGTTGAAAGTGCTGCGAATCTCCTCTGGAGTCTTTCCTTTGATCATGTCCGCCACTTTTTGACATATCAAATCTAACAAGCTCTTGATGTTCAAATAATTTGCAGCCAAGATGAGATTGAAGAGCATCGCCTGGTCGACTTCGACGAAGTTGGTGTCAAAGTTTTTGATAGCATCGTTGGAAGTATTGTCTTTGGACTTGGGGGTCTCGACATGCTTTTTGCAGTACTCGATGATTTTGGACAAGATGTTGCCGGTTACATTCGGAAGAGGAATGATGGAATCGGCACAATCATCTTCAATCATGTGTTTGAGGGTCTGTGACTCCAATGCCACGGCCTCTTCCACCTCGAAGGTCTCACCATCTGAGCTTCTCAACACAATTGGCTTTGAAGTTGACATGATGAATTTCTAACCCTAGTGAAAGAGAGAGTTGTGAGATATACGGACTGAAAGCTATTCAAACCACAGAAGTGAGAAAATTACAGAGCAAATATGATATAGCACTACATGTATTTATAAGAAGGAACCCTACCGCCCTAACGAAACTAATTGCATCCGGAAACGAGTATTAAGGAAACCTATATAAACAAATCCTAAACCCAATAGTATTAGGAACCTACCCTAACTCCATAAGTTCCATAAACAAACAAAGATACCTAATCGTCCTGAAATCGTTTCTGAGTACGATCACTATAGAATCGGTCCCACACGCTAGACTTATTTTGCTGTTTTTATTCAAGCCATTCGGGCCAACAGTCTATTTATTACTAATAAGGAAGCCCGACTATTTTGGGCCCATGCTATTTTATTTTTATTTAAAAAATAATAATAAATAAAAAATATATAAAAATTCAAGAAATTAAACATGATTGGCACTTCTCCAAGTTCTAGATCAATATCAATTCTAGCATTAAGTTGACAGTTCATAGAAAATCTGGACAATAAATAAATAAATAAATAAAAATTCAAGAAATTAAACTTTTTCATTGGACGATTTTGTGCACAATCATCCATTCACAAATAAATGAAGTTTATCAAACACCAAAAGATTTACACACACAAACCCGGATAAACACACACACACACACAAACACCCGGATAATGGAAGGCATTAAATTTGGTACTAGGAGATTTTCAGTAGGGTGTAATAATTGCAAGTAGTTTATCAAACATGCTTTTCATTTTCAAAGATAAAAGATTGGACTTCTTTACAGCCATAATGCCAATGTCTTTGCCTCTGATGTATTTCCTTTTCTCTCATATCAAATTCTTTACAATATCGCTGCAGTGTTTCATGAAATCAATTTTCATTTTTCCATCAAGAATACAAAAATTACACTGAACTGCATCTCTGTCTCCAAGTGCAGTCGAGCGGCCGCCATCGCAGCTGGATTGCAGTTTCACATAGTTCTTGGAAGAACTGAAGTAGTTTCTTCTTCAGTCATTGTTTCTGTTGTCATGAAAAAGTGAATCTCGAGAGAAGTGAGAGGCCAGAGCCCGATGATTCATTTGACGGGCTTGGTGGAACATCAGAAGCAGCACGATAACCCTGTTGACACTTCTGCATCTGCACTTGCATGTGGAATGCCAGGGGTTTAGCATTCAGTTCTTGTTCAATAGTATATGTTATAAATTGTGGTAATTTGTATATCCAATTAAAACATTTATACAGTATCTACTAAAGTTCTATAATAGTCTTTTCATCCTATTTTCGTGCCTGAATGATAGAGAGGGAAATGAATGATGCTGCAGAGAAACCTTTGGAATCTTTGGAACTTTCAGAAAAACAGTGGAGTGATTTGCTCTCTATTCTTATGTTATAAAATAAAGTCATGATATATAAGACACTAATGACTCCATGAGCAATCCAAACTCAGAATGGACATTCCAATGAACGGGCCATCATTTTAGTCATTGCCCGTCTTATCAAGATGTATCTCAAGCTAATAATGACTGATCAGAATGCTTTCCAAAGTACTAATGACCCTAGCAATGATATTGAGACACGTTGATCTGAATTTTCAGATTCCTAACAATATTGAAGCATCAAAACGAAAATAAAAATTTTACCTCTTCAGGACTGAATTGAAGAAGCATTCCAACCACAGGTAGCAAGGCCTCCACTTCACCTGTTTATAGAAAGTTTGATATACAATGGTTTTTAAAACAGCCAGACAGATTTTACTATTTTGAAAATTGCAGTTCTCTAGGAAAAAAAGACAACAGAGAGCAACAAAAGTTTTAACTCCTATATTCACAAGCTACATTATACAAGGTACCTGTTTCAAGGAGTTTCAAAATAACATTTTTAAGATAGGTCATGTCCACCCCTTCCCTCTTTTGCGCTCTTTCCGTGTTCCGGAGCTCTTCCTTTAACATGGCTTCCTGCACTCGTGGTATTCAAACACTGAGTCAACAAACAAGAGGAAACGAGGAAAGGGAAAGAAAAAACAGAAAGAACAAAACTTGAAACAGTTAAACCATCTTCTCACTGAAGGCCAATATGTAATATGCCCGTCCATGAGGGTGCTCTAAGGGGAAGACTTCACCAGTCTCCACTCAATAAGAAAAAAAAGTATTTAAAATAGAACAATAATGAAAAAATGGCCATGTGATTAATGCTTTGATTAGATCATGAATCAAATGAGTACATATATTTAGCACATTGTCCGCTACTTTTGTGCATCAAATAAAATTATATTCTCCTGTAAACAGAATCTTGCTCATAACAAGGATTTATATAATTTTATGCAACAAGCATTCTAAGAGTTGTGGACAGCACATGACCATCTATATGCTTATCAATTGCTAGCTTGTAAAAAATTCACATTATATATCACTGCCTATCACACACATAGTGCATAGCACAAGTTTTTAAGTATGTGCAAGTAAAAGATGAATTATTGACTGGCTGCATGTGACTCATTCACCAACCATGAATTGAAATTTAACCGCCCATGCTGTATTTATTAATTTATTTTTCTCCAAATATAGAAAGCATTTGTGAATCAACAATTACTAAGCATGTTTACTGGGGATCTGTGCTTACTAGGATTTCATATTGAATGCACAGGTGAAAAATATGGTAGAAACTAATATTTTATGTACCTGTTGGCTGTGGAGACGATTTTCACGTTCAAGCTCCTCAATTTCCTCCTGAATTAAAACACAATTAGAAACTGCACTGTTGAAAAATAAATTAAAGCTAAAACAAGTATGACTCACTTGGAGTGCAAGAATGTGCCGCTGCGACTGTGCTAGCTCTTCCTCTCTTTGAGCCTGTTGCCTTGCCAAAAGCTGCAGTTGAGAAGAATAGAGTACTCAGGCATGAGTTTATTCTTAGTGTGAAAATAGATACTTTAAAAAGGAAGGGGTAAAATCACAAAACCCCCCTGTACTACAGAAATTAATCATATAACCGCCTTGTACTAACTAAACTATTAAACCCCCTTGACGTTTTAAATAAACCATTAACTTACCCCCTTTCTGTTAGTTTACTGTCAAATCATAACGAGAAGAATAGCACGTGAGTGTTATGTATAAAATTTTGACTCTAAAAAACCTAAATGCCCCTTTCAATGATGCAAATACCCTTCATAACTTAACCCAACCCAAATCAAACTGGACCTCGTATGTTCTCCACCTCAAACGGTCTTCTTCGTCTTCTAGGAACCCCTAGCACCACGAGCAGTTCATCAACTCGAAGCTCTAGCTACTGTTTGCAGCCAAACAACTTGATTGTAAACAAATTCCGTTCCTCAGCTGCCGTCGCTGCCATGGTTGACGGGGACGGCAGAGCATTTTTGCAGGACGCCAGAGCCATGGCAGCTGTCATGGCCAGTGCTAATGGCCTCATCTCCATTTTCAATAATCTTACACAGTGCAACCTCATCAAACAGGTCTTTCTCAATCAGTCAATCTCTCTATACACAAACATAAGTACACACACACACACACCTCATAGAACAGGTCTTTCTCAATCAGTCAGTCTCTCTACACACACACACACACACACACACGTTACAGGTAATATGCATGAATATACGCAGATTCAAGGTTAGGTATATCTCTTTAATTTGTTTGGATAATCTTTCTGTAAATCTTTAATTCGATGCGTAGGATTCTATTTCGACTCTCTCTCTCACATCTTTTTCTTAATTCTTCTTCTATATTGAGTTCAATTTCACCTCCAATGGCTACGGTTCCGTGTTGATTATTTCAATTTACAGAAATGTTTGTCGGTCGGGTAAGGTTAGGTTTAATGATTTCTTTGAATTCGAATCAAAACCTCAAATAATTGATCTCACGTGGCAAAGGTCGCTAAATTTGGACTTCCAATCAAATTGTGAGTTGAGATTCAACAATTGCAGGCCTTCATCGAAGATTGATGTGCCTCCGGTGAAGAAATTTGAGGTTTGGAGTTTGCCAAGTCGACTCAGTCATCGAGGGTAGTGTCTGTAAATGTGTAAAGAAACTTTTGAATAAAGAGGAGGAGAGGCCACGACCCATTTGCTGATAGAATCGACATGGTCTCAGTATTAGATTCTGCCGTCTCTAGTTGCAGAAGAGAGTGAATCTGAGAGAGAAGGAGAGAGAGAGAGGTGTCACAGACGGTTCATGCTTTTGGTTGGCTAGAAAGACCCAGAAGACGTTTGGGGATTTTGGTTCTTGTAAAAGTGAGGGAAATGTTGTAATGTCACTAATAAAACTAACAGCTCCATAATGGAATGTCCTTAAATGATGGACATTTATAGTTTAGCGGGTTATTTGCTAGTTCAGGGGGTTATATGATAGAAATTTATAGTACAGGGGGGTTTTGTGATTTTACCCCTTAAAGGAATAAGAACCATGATAAATACAAATCTGGAATCTGATCTGTGTGTGTGTGCATGCAGCTTTAGCAGAACAAAACATTTAGAAATTTACAGTTTTGATGGGCTCATTTAGTAATTGACTCACATTTATTCCCCTTTACCATTATTTATCTGCTTTTCACATTCTCCTTTCTTTATAATCCAGCTAATTTCCGCATTATTTATGATAGTAAGAATGGTTACAGCGTCTTTGCTCACACCATTTCTGTATCCATTCCTTCCATGAAAATCATGGGCACAAGTAATGATACAAAGAACAAGGTCTTAAACTTTTGAAACTAAAAGCTGAAGCCACTCAAACCAATAAAGCATTTTCCCAACTACAGATTTCACCTAGTTCAACTTAAAATAGTTGGGACAGCTGGTTGTTATGTTAAGTCACTTGATCTTCAATTAGAATATGCAGTTGGAAAAAGCTATCACGAGGGAGCTCTTAGCCGAGCATGTGCCCTCAGTTGTTGGATTGAGAGGCTGTGAAGGCGTACTCTTGAACCTATAACTAAGGGTTGAGCTCACACTAAGAGCCCTTATAATGGACTTTATGCAGAAACCTTGAAGTAACCAGAAAGAAGTAAATATCATTGCTTTGAGCTTTTGTTTTTTTTGGTAAGTTGAAAAAAACGAAGGCAAGTGTACGTAGGAACAAAATATGAGCAAAGGAAGCAATAACTCTCCCTAAGATCTTACCAGAAGTAGAAAATGAGTGGGATTTTTAAGAGTGAAATGAATGAAAACTGGTAAAGGGAAATGAATGCGAAGCAGTTGACGTTAGGTAGTTATTGTCTCTTAGATTTTTCCAAGTATTTCTTATGTTTTCAGAAGTATCACAATTGTCAAATTTTATAACATTTAGTTTCTTTTAGAAAGGTCAAATAAGAAACTCATTTTCTGTTTCTGAACTGTCTGGGATACGTACTTCCCAGGAATTAGTTCATTCTTATAGGAAATAGCTTTCCTATAGCCACGTCTTTTAAAAAGAATGGCTATTGAACAATATCTACAAAAACATTGCAGATACAAAACATGTAATGGTGATTATTGAGATATGATGTAGCAAACCTAGAAGGTTAAAGTAACAAGAATACGAGGGGCAAGTACAAATACAGCTGACGTAGGTTTTGTCCATAAACCAGCTGGCTAATTCAGCATTTTTTTTATTTGTCCTTCTTAAATAACAAAACTTTCCACAACCATCAGCTTAAAATCATATTCAACTGAACTTTTCCATAGTAATATATAAATACATCTACTAATAAGCACAACAATAGTTAAATGACAGATGCCTGTCAAAAGAAGATTTGTATATACCAGAATTTGCTGATCTGCAGATGAGGTGCTTGCATATAGTGCATCCTGTTTCTGGGAGGCTGTAAAATACCATAGGAAACAGAACAATGTTAAAGCCCCACCAGATCAATTTTATCAAAACACAAGATGAGCTTTAACTTCTATATATAACCAATGCTACCAAGTGTGACTGAAAGAGCCTCATACCTGTGTTGTAGTTATTGTCATAATTAGCCTGAAAGTATTTACCACATTCTTAGGTCAATAATTAAGATAGGGAAAAAAACTTCATCTCAAAATTCAAGTAGCAGGTATCTTATGAGATGAGCCAGAAAGAGAAAGGGAGAGAAGAGATAGAGGCATACTGGTGGTCTTGATTCTAGTGATTGATGAAGATTCTTATTATCATCTAAAAGTCTAGAGATCTCTTTGTCCTTCTCCTCAATCATTTTATCAGCAAGATCACGAAATGAATCATGCTCTTCCTATAAGTTACAATACAGATTAACATAAGCAGAGAAATCCACATCCTCCACATTGAGATACAAATACAACAAATCAAATGCATGATACCTTTAATCGTTTATATTGTAGTTTAAGGTCCTCTATTTCTCTTTGTCGTTCTTGACCAGACGATTCTTTGTTCTTTGCCTTCAATGCTTCACATCTCACTGTAAAATTATTACTCAACATCTTAATACAAAAGCGCAAACAAAAGAAAATGGGGAAAAAAATAAATAAATAAATAAATAAATTAGTAAGAAACAGAATAAGCTTTGCATTGTTAAAGTACATTGCCAAGTTTGTTCTAAATTCTGAAAGTTTATTTCCCATGCTTCTTTCTCTGACTGATAGTGAGAAATGGCAGAATTAAGTTTCATTTCCAAGCCCTTAATTTGCTGCTCTGCAGTGCTGAGAGCTGCATCTCTGAAATGCAATGAAACTGGAAAGAGTCAATTATGATTGCTTTATGTCCCCAAAGTTCAACATTTTACAAGTAACCATTATGAAGAACAAATTTTATGTACAGAGAAGACCTGGAATTACAAAAAAGTACTAATACCGCACTTACAATGGAATTGGAAGGAAAGGAGAACGAGAGAGAGCTTAAATCGTGTCTGGTTTAGACCCAAGGCCCCCCCCCCCAAAAAAAAAAAAAAAAAAACCAAAAAAACAAATGTTTTCTGTCCTTCCATAAAAAGGAAGAAACGTAGGGAAGGATAAGACAGTGATTCCCTATTTTTGCCCCTATTCTGTATTACAAATGAAACCTTACTTTACCATTATTATTCACATTATACCACGAGGATAAGTTAATATTATCCTCTCATTTCCTTTCTCCCCTTATAATTAATGCTATCCTCTACTTTAGTTCCCCTCCTACGTATCCAAATGCACAGTGAGTAAACTAGATTTGCATAAGATGGAAATGGACAAACAACAAATATCATGCAATACAATTCAAAAGCAATTTACTTAAAATACAACCCTTTTCCCATAATATGGATGTACCAAAACAATAGTTCAAGGGTCAATTCCAACTGTAGAAACAAAATCAGAAAATTCTGAAAGAAATATAGCAATTGAAAAAGAAAACCACTGAGAGATTTTTTTTGCAATTGTTAGGACAACGCTGAGAACCATGAACAAACCAAGAATCACAACTAAAAAGTAACATGCCACACACAAAGAACACAAAGATTTATGTGGCTCAGCTACATCCATGGTGAAGATCTGGCGAAAGATTTCACTATGTGAAAAACAGGAATTTAAAAGTTTCAGCACCCAAACCCTAGCTCTCTCTCTCTCTCTCTCTCTCTCGCAGTTCTCAATGCTCTCTCGTTACCCACTCCAAACCCTAAACACCCTTATATACTGGGCTACGAGAGAGTCCTAAACAGGGTCCAGATCAGCAAGAGAAAAACGGGTCAAAATACTTTTCAGTTCGAAACCGGGTCTCATTGCAACCCGGTCTGAAACAAAATTTGGGCCACAGCATGACAGCAATAATAATACCTTGCAGCAAGTTCGTTGTCATGATTGGCCAAAGCATCCTGAAGATCTTGGAGGGCCCTATCCCTTTCTGAAGATGCCAACAATACTTCTTTCTCAGCATCCTGAAGGACAAAAGAAATGTCATAAGCAGCAAACAAATTTGATGTACTTGAAATCAATCCAAGTTATTCTTCAAAATATATGACATAGGCTACACACATGTACCTTCAATAATTCTTCCTGTGCTTTGAGTTGTTCATTGTCTCTAGCGGCAGCTAGCTCTGCATCCTTTCTCTGTAGAAGAGTATGAGCTCGAACCTTGTAAGATGAAAATTCACTTTGCAGACGGGTGATCTGCAAGATGTAAATTGAGATACCATATAAGAAGAAGCAACGGATATTAAGACAGACAGATATCTGATTAAGAATACAGAAAGCAAAGATGGTGCTTGGCAGTTGAGCACCATCAGTCTATGGTTCAGCGTCGTGTGCTGCTGGCTACTGACCATGGGAAACGGGGCAGTGGCCTCAGGTCTGCCAAACATAATAAAACTACCAGACAGAACTATCAATTTTATTGTTGACTATCTGGAGAGTTAAACGGCGGCTTTGGTGAGGTGAATTGAGTTTATTATAACACCATTATGTCTGCCTTAGCGGATCCTTTTCTCTACAACAGAGGGTAGTTATGAGGGGTCATTCTCATCTAAAGGCCCATCCCTTGGGAATTGTTCAAACTGAATGTAGGCCAATCCCGTCATTTAATTTCCAGGGCTCATATATAGCCTAGAGTGCACCCATTTTTACAGCTTGATCCCAAGTCTCAATCTCCAAACAACGCTAAATAACCATTCACTAATCCTCAAACTTTTGTGGACCCCTTAAAGTCTGGACTGAAGTAAAACCATACAGCAGAAACAATTAAAGAAATAGTTTTGGTGAAAGATTACAAACAACTTACTACTATACATAACAAAGTGCTTGGTGTGGAAGACCAAAAGACCATAGAGATAAGGAAAGACACAAGAAAATATAGTATAACAAATAAGGATAATAAACATGAAATACTTCAAATAGTCGTCATTAATGAGAATCTAACAGATCAAATCATTCTGATACAAATTAAGATATACAGAAAACATGATAATTGATACTCAAAATAGTGCACACAATTTCCATCCTACATTTTCTTACGTTGACTATAGCCAGATACAATGAACTACTTCTCAGTCAGCCATGGGTATACTAACAATGAAACTAGATATGGAAAAATAATGCTTTCAGCAATATACAATAAAAGTAACCTAGGAAAGGTGATGTCTGAGTGTCAACTGCAAGCATCCCAGTCTACAACCTATCAAAATGCTTATTCCGCATCTATGAAAGCAACACTAAGGTCCGTCTGCCCATATGCTTTAATCTATGCAATTTTCTGGCCTGATGCCTGAGAGATTGAGCTCGTTAGTTAAAAATGGGGGCACAATCATACTTCTGGCTTTTCAGTAACCATCATATCACCTAGTTCTGACTCCAGATGCAGAGGATGTAGTAAAATATCTTTTGAAAATCAGGATATATAAGCTAACTTTCAAATCAAGGAAAAACAAATGCTTAGCCAAAATAAAAAGACGATTAAAACCCTGTAATAGTCATTAGAGGGAAAGATTGATATTCAATGTGTTTCCTCCATTTTTGAGTTGAAGAGAGCAGGGAACTGAAGATGATCTAATACCTCCTCTTTTGCAGCCACTAGTTCAGCATCTCGTGTACTTAGCAGCTGAGTTTGCACAGATAATTCTAATTCCAGCTGACCTGCGCAATAAAAAAATGAATGAAGGCTCAATCAACACGTACGAGCCATCAATTAAAAGTTCAGTGAGGGATGGAAAAATACTTCTCATTTTAGCTGCTTCAATTTCAGTACGCATGCAGTTACTCTCAGCAACCTCCAGCTTCGTTTTCAGTGCCTGTGAGTTAACTTCCCAAATCTCCCTTTCTTTCTCCTGAATGAATTTACAAACTTTATGGAAATAATATTCAAAAATTATATAAAACTAGCTAAAGAAATAGGCAATTGTAAGGTAATAAACAATGTGAGGCTACATCATTTAAACCTAAAATTGTCAAAAATATGAAATGCATACACATACCATCAAACATGTGTTCCAAAAGGCACAACCTAAGCATGCCAAAATGCATCTTTAGAGGAGGATAAAACACCCCTTTCTTTGAAGGGAAGATCTCGTCTACTTACAAAAGAATATGCTTCCTAAATCAGTCTAGTACACAGAAGTGCCAGCATTAAAGCCCTAAAGTTCAGTCATAATCTAATAAACAAGGTAGTAACAACGACCTCCAAGAAATTTTTACAAATAGCATCGAATGGAAAGTATTACTTTTCATTTGACTAATATTCAGATAGATCTGAATGAAACCATTTTGGAAATAGTCCATATTGGATTTAAAAAAATTGGAAAATGGAAGTAAAGAACTTACATTCATGGTAAATTTAACTAAACAATGGACACATTCTTATTTAGCAAACAGGTAACCCCTTTTACCCAAAAGAAACTTCAAAAAAGCCAACTCTTGTCTCCATAACAACTGTGTTATCCGGACTCGGGTACGGGTGTGGGACACGGGTGTGTGTCTAGAGGTCGGATTCGTCAATTCATCAAATATAGAGACACGGGGACTCGGCTAAAAAGTGTCCAATATCTAGACACGGGTACTTGGACACTTCTATAAATGAAAATAGTATAAATTTTTAATGTACGAGCATCAATTTTCTAATAAATATAAATATATATTTTTTTTTTCGGAAGGTGAATAAAAAATAAATATTGACCAGCTTTCATGCCATAACTAATGAGTATTGTATTTTTACCTCTTTTTTATATTTTTTTAAAATTTGTTTAAGAAAAGTAACCGCCATAACTAATGAGTATTGTATTTTTGTAAGTAAAAATATACTATTACTTTTTATTAGTTAGAGCAGTAATTAATTAGCTTACAGCTGTAACCCATTACATACAGCTGTATCCCATTAACTAAAAGGTTATGTCTAACCAACGGGCCAGTGGCCTAGCGGTATCAGAATCCTTACTTCCCAAAGGAAGGTCAGGGTTTCAAGCCTCAATGGAGGCATGTGTGTGTGAATACCAACTAAGAAAAATATAAATAAATAAATAAAAGGTTATGTCTGTCATGGACAAGTGGCGTCCTATTTGCCATAAAAAAAGAAAAAGCATTAAGAGATAGCTTCATCTTAGCCGTAAAATTAAAAATGTATCACGGGAAAGATCTGAAGCACGCTTGCCAAGACACATCTTCAACCTTTGAAGAACCAACACCATCGTCAATGGCAGCCAACCCCTTTCGTTTTTTGAACCAGCTTTCTAGCACCACCATCAATGGCAGCCGTGTCCAGTAGACAAATGAGGAGTCCGACTCGTATCCAGTGTCCGTGTCGTGTCATCACACCCTCGCCGGTTCAGGCGAGTCCAGGTAACATAGCATAACAGAGTTGCAGAGATTTCACATATGATTGTCCCTCTAAATAAACAAGGTTAAGACAAGTTCAAAATCAATTTATCTGAGCTGTGTCATCATACTGGTATGTAACTGAGTACCACCGTGACAAATTAAAATCAACAACACTAATCAGTTATACATAGCTTATAAGAAATCAGGGGAAAAAGAAAATTGGGGAAGTAAGAACATTAACATACATGCTCGTGTTTCATGTGATTCAGCTCTCCTTTTACCGTTTCCACTGCAGCTTTAAGTCGTGCTGCTTCGCCACTTGAAGCTGCATCCATCTCCGCAATCTTAGACTCTTTCTCAGCAATCATCCCCTGAAAAACATATATTAACACTTACGTTCAACTCACCATCTCGAACAAGTGTCAGCTACAAAACTATATCACTGACATAAAAACATGTAATGCAGACCAAAGGATATACAACATAACTTGTTGAGCAAGAAGTTCATGGACACAAGAAACACGGTAAATTATGCTGCTGCTCCTGAAATGCATCATGTAAAAAAAGAGCCTTAAATAGTCTGTTCTTACCTGCAGAGAGGAAATCGTTTCGGTTGCTTTGCTTCTATCTGTTAATGCATCAGCAAGTTGGGATTCCAAACTCTCTATTTGCTGAGTAAGAAATAAGAGAGTAAAAAAAATCTAAGGCACAATTCATTCACAAAACATACAGCAAGAAATAGCAGAACTTCTTACATAATGCATCTGCATGCATTATTACCTTCTGGTGTTTGGCAGAGACCTCAGATATTGAGGCTTGCTTTTTTTCTTCTGCTGCTTGAAGGAAACCTCGCATGTCTTCTAGCATCTGTCGATATGCAAGTTAACATACAGATATGGAACTGTACATATATAATTTTTGGAATAAAAATAATAATTAAAAAAAAAAAAAAAAAAGTAGCAGTACTTTTGTCTCACTAGTCACTCCAATACATTGATCAAAGTTCAGGCTCACACAAACATAAACTGACTTTATCAAGTTTCAACATCACTTTTTCCTGCATCCCAAATGGTTGGGAGAAGGTCTTTTTGAGTTGAGTACCACCTTTTTCCAGCATCAAAAATAAAAAATAAAAAATAAAAAATGATTGTAATGAAGATTTGTCAAAACAGTTAGATTTTGCATACAATATACAGACAAATTCACTCCTAATAACATTTGATTGGCAACCCATGGACTCTTCCAGTAATGTACTAATGTCTTATCAGACTAATTGTTCCAAAATAATATCCCCAAGTACGATTAACATTAATAAGATGGTTCAAAAGTTTAAATGATGAACCACAAATAATGGAGTTCTTCCAAATGTCTAGAACATTAACATCTACACACTGCAAGGGAAGAATGAGTTTAACAAGAGCATCTAATAAATTATTGGATTTCTTAGCATGACATAAAAAATCAACAGTGTTAGGCAAACAACTGAACAATGATGAAAGTTACACTCGAAGTTAGGTAATTCAATTACTAAACCAGTAGATTATACGTGAAACCAAGAATACTCCAGTTTATTGACCAATGAGGTGAGCACCCACATGAATAAAAGAACATCGCATATCCTACTATATAGAAGCAGTTCAGAAACTTCGTTTTTATTTTCAGCTTTTAGCAGTTTGTCGTCTTACTAGAATAAAAGTTCTTGACATATAGATGCAAACAAAAACTGACATGTTTCTCCAGTATGCATTCCTGCATAACACATGCAAAAGGATCTCTCAACATTGCATAAGCAGTGCTTGGAAAACAAGATGATTAGGTTCTCCTTAATAATCCCAAGGGATAATCAGGAATTATAGTTTTTGTCAGGTAGATTGGAAGAGCAAACCGAGCTTTTGGAATTATTTATTTATTTTTTATAAGTAAAGATTTCATAGAAAAGAACTCGAAAGGGGAGCGCAACCCAGAGAATTTATACCTGCTCTTTCTCTAAAAGTGACTGCTGCAATGCCTCGAGAGCATTCTCTTTGGGTTCCAAAGATCGCCGTAATTCTTCAATGTTGTCTCGAAGCCTGGATATCAGTTAATTTAACAATAATTAAGAAAAAAGACCTATAATACTATAAATCAAGAAACAACGGATGGAAATTGTCAAATTCTAGAAAGAAAAAAAAAATAATTGACTGACCTATCAGCATGTAGCAAGATGTTGATGAATGATGACTTGTGATATTCAACAGATAATGCATTATTTTTTGTTTCCTCAACATATTTAGTATGAAATCTACCCATTAATTTCTTATAAAGGGACACTTGAAAATATTCATACAATGCAAAATTTGATTCTTTATTGCACTTGAAAAGGATATTCTTAACAAAAGATATTTTATAAGAACACAAGACAAAACAAACCCAAACACATGCACACAGAGTTAAATCCAGTGTATTATGTTTTATTTTTACAAGAGAAAATACTATAGAAAGGTTGGTAGGGTTTGTTGGTATGCAAATCAACATGAACTGGTGTTATTCAAAAAATTGGGTTCCATAAATAATATAATAAAAAAGAACTGAATGATGAATACAGTTTCTCCATCCCTGTACAAAATAAATATGCAGTTATTTGGTATTGTACGTACTTGTTGTTTGCAATCCGTAATTGCTGCCTCTCCATATCTGTTGCTTTAATGGCTTCATTTGCTTGTTGCCGTGTGCGCTCCAGCTCTTGCTTCAATGCTGACAGTTGGGATGATGCTTGGCTGGCTTTTTCACTCACGTCACGAAACTGAGCCGCAAGATCATCTTTTTCCTGGAATTGACAACCTCCAAACAACAATTTGATCTTAAAGAAAAAACAGATAAACAAGCAAACAGAAGCATTTTTCTTAATCTTTAACAAATTAATGCAGATTCAATAAAAAGCAAAACTGATCTTATTAGACAAATATAATTTCCTCAAACATCAGAACTGATGTGAACTTAGAGAAAACAGAATGGAACACACTCCAAACTTGAATACATCCACAAATAATAGTACGTTAACACTCAAATTCATGAAATAATAAATAACTCCCCTTTCGCACCCAAAATTCTTTTTGCTCTAAAAGCTTACTAACACAATAAAAATTTTCTAGTGATAGAAGCATTCTTTGACTCTAAATATGCATTTGAAATGTCTTCATTTAGTAAGAGGGGTTAATTGACATTTATAGTATAATACCCACAAGAAGAGAGAATATAACTATATAGATCACATGAAGAATACGAAAATTAGTTATTATACCACCAAGATTATTAATAGAAACAGATTGTAAGCTGACATTACGTAAGAGTGGAATTTTTTTATGCATCAATCAACGCAACTGGAAAGCAGCACAATGTTTAATGAGTTCAATTTGGCCTTAATTTTGTCCATGCCATAATCACACTGGATTCAAGTCCTTTTTTTTTTTTGTGTTTAAAGTCCAATCCTTTTCACTCACTGGTCATGCATGTGAATACATTGTTGACATAAAATAATCTAGTTCACAACTTGAACTGATTCAGAATAACTTTAAGTTAGAAAATTGAGATTACACCAGGCCCCACAGCATACACAAACCTACTCATGTCATTTAACCATGTTAAACACAATGCTGAATGACCAAATTCAACTCAACTAAACCTTGTCAGAACTATTTCTCCATGGCATTGGAGAAAAACCTTGCATTGTGTCTCTTCTTACTGCCTTAACCAATTTACTTGTGTCCTTTATGGTCTTTCCTTGCCCTCAGTTTGCACAATGTCCAGTGCAGTAACTTCTCTTCATAAGACGTGGAGAAACAACATTAACTAGTCTTCTCTTTCCACTCATTAGTTGTGCATGTCAATGCATAATCACATCAACAGACCCAGTTAACGACACAAACCAGTTGATAATCACTGTAAACAAGGGGTCAAAAAATTGAAATGACAAAAGGTACATAGCTTGACAGGCCACATACATCATAGATGGACCTAGACATCAGTTAGCCATGTCAGCTCAAATGATCCATGACCAATTCAACACAAGTAAACCTTTTCTCAACTACCTCACATTTCACCATTCCACTTTATCCAAGGCCATAGTTTAGACTAAACTATGTGCACTATGCCTTTGCTTACTACCTCAACTAATTAACCCATCTCCTTTTGGTCTTCTGCTCATCCTAGCAACCTCCTCTATTTGGACATAGGGCTACAAATGAACTGGGCCGAGACGAGCTTCAGTCTGTCCTGGCTTAGATTGTTCGTTTATGGGTTCAGTAACTTCAGTTCGAGATCATGACTAGCTCAAATAGCTGAGCTCGGGCTCGGTGTCATTGTTTTGAAAAGCTCGTGCTTGGTTCGTTTAATTATAATTTTCAAAAAACAAAAAAAAAACCTTGATATTACATTCGTGTTCAGGTTTTGTTTGAGCTCGTGTTCAAGATCGCTTTAACTCGTTCATGAGCTTATACAAGCTTACACAAGTCTATGCTATCTCATGAGCTTATACAAGACTACACAAGCCTATATTCATGAATGCGGTGATGACTGATGACCACATATGAGACCGCACAAGCTTGGTGTTCATGAGCTCACACGAGTCGAGCGTAACAATGTTTTGGATCAGCTCACTTACTAAACCAGCTCAAAAATTGAATTCAAGCCCGGCTTGTTTATTCAATGAACAAGCTTGATCCAAACTTTAAACGAGCCGATCCCAAGATGTTCATACAGAGTTCTGTTCATTTGCTCGATCCCAAGCCCTATTTAGACAGTGTCAGTCCTCTTGACGAGTACAATTACCATTCTTCACTGAACATGCGCACACAAAATGATACAATTTTCTCTTTCTCATTTTGGTCCAGAGGCACATTGTTACTTCAAATATTTGTTTTTTTTTTACACAAAACAGACATGACATATCATGTACCACTTAATAATATTACACAATTGAACTTTTTCATGATTGGGCATTAGCATGTTAAGCATATGTCACCCTATGATGATCATCATACCGACCATTAAATGATAACATCAAGTCATCAATACTACCTAATTCTATATACTTTCCCCTGATAATGGTCACCATCATTCCGTAGAGAAATCAAAACAACCAGGACAGTAATATGTTCCACTTAACCTACAATGTCAATCAGGAATAGGGTTTTTAACTTCTTCCCAAGATGAAAAGGACTGCCCATAACTCTGTTAACAACTATTACCTTCCACTTGAAATGTCTTCTTTGCTCAAACAGATCTGTGACAATCTCTCATAAATCCTTGTGATTATGGATAAGAGCGTGATGATTTTAAGACCAACTTACGTAAAATCTATAGTTTACTAGGATTTATTAAATGTGTATCATTTCATTCTAAACCAAAGAGTGTGTTACAACTGGGAACATACGGAACAGTATCACAAAGTGACAAACATCAGACGAAACGAACCCAGAGATAGAATTTACCTTCTGAGTCTCTTGAATACGCTGTTTAGCTCGTTTGTGAAGCCTATTGAACTTGGAGTCAAGTTCAGAGTACTTCTCATCACGCTCTTTTATTTCTTCACCCATCTTCTGTTGAGCTACACATATAAACCACAAAATGCATTTAAACTAAGAAACTTAAACAAAATGTTAGAAAAGATAAAACAAAATGTTAGAAAAGATAATCTCATAAAACTGTTTAATTTAAGGATATACATCTAATATCCTATGGGAGTACGACTATCAGCAAGTAGTCAGAATTCAAAGCATGAGGTCGAATCTAATCATAATTGGAAAGAGATCTAAAATCAAAGAGATCTTTTGCCAAACTTTCTGTTTGGCCCACTGATATCATACCTCCCTCAACAAATATTCAAAAACATCATCAAATTTACATAAGTTGAAATATAAACAGTAATTGAATACAATTCGACCTTCAGAAAGCTTGGCAGAAAGCTCTTGGGCTTTTGCATCTGCCTCGATGTATACAACTTGAAGATGCTTCATGGCCTCCTCCGCGGCACCTCGGGTTTGTTTTTCTTCCAAAAGCTCTCTACTTAAAGATTCTATCTTTTCACGGAGCTCTTTCACATCTTCACATCCCCCTCCTTCTCTCTCTGTTGCTCCTGTTTGTTGGTCAGACCCACCAGATTCTGAGCGAAGCTCTTTAAGGAACTCAAACTGAGACTTCAAATACTCATTCTGGAAATTGAGTTCTACGATATTTTGAACAAGTTGATCATGAGTCTCACTAGTATAAGGGTCGCCATCATAAAGCCCATTCTCCTTAACTACACTTCCAAAACTCTCGTGGTTCAAGCGAATGAACTGTTTCTCAGGTTTTACAGCATCTTCCACATTATTTTCTAGCATCACGCTACTATCCCCTCCCTCTGTCGACATTATTGCACTCCTTGGGATCACCGTGATCTTTTATGTAAGCAACCACCCTGATTTTCTCATCAACAAGAACCTATAATATCATTCAAAAATAAAGAAGTTGTTACTATGACGAAGCATTGCAAACCCAAAAGACCAGTATGAACTATAATATTAACATAAGAGCCCTCACTAGGAGTTGAGATATTTCATTCACGACTTAACAAAAACTGGAAGTGAGTAACATCTTAAAAGTTACAACATCACCGATTTGGCAACACAACATTTGGTTGCTGGGAAAACTGAGAAATGAAAAAAAAAAATAATAATAATGACTCGATTTATTCAAATAGAAAATGGGCCTAGCTGAATGGTGGATTCTTTATAATATACATATACATATGTAGGTGTACAGGGAGGGATCTACTTACACCTAGTGTAAAGTTTCTTATTCTGACATCTTGTAGAACTTGCATTTTACAAAACATATTGTTGGGTTGGCTCTTCTTTCGATCAATAGACTCCCAATTCATACACTCAGATATCATGACAGACATTTGAGGAGTGAAATTTGAAAAGTATTGAGGCCCACAAAAAGTTATAGACAGTTGTAAGAATAAAAGTCTTACGCCGCCGCGGAATGTTGAAAGGGATATGCTGAATAAAAACCTAACCTTTTTCATCATTTGCAAAAATTGGCTGCCCACAGAATGAAAAAGGAAACAATATATAAATAAATTTTCTTATCGTTTCTTACATTTTCTTAACAAAGTGGATATAAGTTTATCAGCAGTCTTATCATTTTCTGGGTGTTAAAATTCTTGACCATGAACCCCACAAAATAACTAAAATAAACTTTGTGGCATAATCATTCGATTCGCTGATGATGATAGACCCATAAAATTACTAAAATGAACTTAGTGACATTTTAATGAGCTGCAAATTATATGTTCCCTATTGAATGCATGATTTGAACGATGAATCAAAATCACTCTAATTGTAAAATTAGAATTCAAAGATGAGACTAATAAACAGTTACTGAATCAATAAGATCCAAGCTTCATTAATGGCAATGTGATCGTTCCCATTGAAACTGTTTCTTCAATTACGCATACAACTTAGCAGACTTGCGATATATGCACACAAAATGGCTTCCAAAATGACTAACCTTCGTGTCGAGCAGTTGCTAAATAAGGGAGTCTCGAGATTAATTGGGCTCCTCCTGCAGATCTATCGACTCCAGTAATAATTTGAGTTATGAATGGATGGATCGAAACCGAGCCCTAAGTTAACAATCTGATCAATAATTTAGTATTGTATTATTATATATAATCATACATATATATATATATAGAGTGTGGGTGTGTAGGACTGCGTGTGAAAGAGAAAATTTGAGAGAGAGAGAAAGGGCGTGAGATCGCAGGTGTCTTGGTGGATCCACCTCTGATCTCACGCTTCTCATGTACAAGAAGAGTGCCCAATATACATGCTTGCCATCTGCCTTGTAATTTGGTTTAGCAGAACTGAAATAAGCAGAATTAGGAATATCTTTCTTACGCAAGCAAGCCTAGGCTTTGTTTTAATTCCTTCGTTTTTAGGAGTGTAAAGAGAATTAGAATTGGATTAGGAAAGAGTTAGAATTGAACTAAATAAATCCCGAGTAGAATAGGATTATTATTTTAATTGGTAACTTATTTAGTTGACCCTCTTGTTATATATGTATATATAGTCAGAAAGAAGAGCGCTCGTCAAGCCAACTTTTCCCCTTCCTGCATGAATCCTTCTACCGCTGAGAAAAGCGAAGCCATGATAAAACGAGTGAATCCTTGTGCCGCTGACAAGAGCGAAGCCATGATAAAACGAAGAAGAATGCGAAGAAATTCATATGGTGACACGCCATATGAAATCATACACATTATACTCTTGAGACTATCCGTCAAGTCTGTGTTGCGATTCAGGTGCGTTAGTAAATCATGGCTTGATGCAATTTCCGATCCCCAATTCGCGAGATCACGTCTCAATGAATCAATTAAGTTTGACCGTCAAAGTATCATCCGCTGGGGCTACAACGGACGTAAGCACAAAAATTTCGACTCCATAGCCTATGACTGCAGTGATAATTCACAGCAAAAACTATGCTTTCCATTTAAGAAGTATAGGAAAGCTGCTGTATTGAGTTGTTCTTGTAATGGTTTAGTACTGTTGTTTCTGGACGACATATGTGTACTGTGGAATCCATCCACTGGAGCATACAAGAGGTTCTCACGTCCTCCTAAATATCACAATTATCCACCACGTGGATTTTGCTATGATTCTTTCCTGGATGATTACAAGGTGCTGTTTTTCCGTGCAAGAGATTTTGTGGTTTACAGTTTCAGAAGTCAATCCTGGACAGAGGCTAAGCACTTCCCTTATTTGGGTTATCGCAGTGGTTCTGGCGTTATTGTCAATGGAGTGTTACACATGGTTGCTTATAAAGACTTGATCAATAATAATGATAATAGAGAGTCGTCGACCTCTGCTAGAGTTGGACCTCCCTCTCCCGGTAGATTGGGCATGGTTGGAACCTCTGATCCACCAACTTTTATGTTCGGTGATTCCTACAAAGAACATCTCCTCGTTTCTTGCAATGCAAAACCCGTTACAAACCAATCTAAGAAGCAATATGGGTGTGTGATTGTTTACTTTGACACGGTGGATCACAAGTTCATGGAGATGCCATCACCAAATTGTATAAATGATGGAGATATGTTTGATTTGACGGTTTTGAAGGGATGCCTCAGTTTATATTTTAGTACCAGTGATATGAACTATTTTGAGGTGTGGACTATGGAGCAATATGGTGAGCATCATTCTTGGACCAAGTTAATTGTCATCCCACACTGGATACGTGAGAGACATATAAGTTCTTTGAAGCTATTGTGTGTTACCAAGGAAGGTAAAATTGTGATGATACTTGATGACAAAAAACTATTCATCTATAATCCTAAAAACAACACGTGCACTCCTCTTGGACAAACAGAGGTTGACGCTAGGCTACGGGCAGTTTCTATTGTGGATAGTTTGGTTTTTCCCATTCCAACACCTCAAGGAAAAGGAAAGAGTTAAAAACCTACAATTGTAAGGAAGTCCATCAAATAATTTCTATTTTTCTAGTTTGTAAGTTAATTCATGTCTTATGATTGTTATGTTTGATATTAGATATTGAAAGAAATATAAATTGTTCCTTTTGTATGGAAAAAAATGGCGTAATTGTTCTGTTTTGTTTTTGTTGTGTTAATTAATTACCATAATTAGAATGTATATTCCCAAACTTCATAATAATCAGCATCAAGGTACATAACAGTAACGCATTAGAGAATCGCACACTCTCAACGATTAATCATCATTGAAGCTCTCCACGAACTCAAAATATTCCGTTACAATTCTTTGTTCGACATAAGCAAGGCTACAAACATAATTGATGACAACTTGGATCCGCTACTGCCAACAATGAAACTGTAAGCTCCATCTGCCGTAGGTTGTGGACAACATGAAAGAATCATGCAAATTGATCTTGCAATTTTGCATAGAGCACTACCAGGAACAAGAACCGAATTTGAAGACGCCACAAATCTCAACAATAAGCAAAGTTTATCGTCACCATGTCTATTTCAGTATGACGCACCATAAAGCACCAAAGTTCCATAACAATCTCCCAACAAAGGAAGTGAGGATGCAAGAAGTTTTCGAGCAAAAAGGATTCCATTTCACCCCAAGCTGGACTGGAATTGACTACAATCACTTACGTTTTCAGTGCATGCAGAATGTTAGAAAACATAGGCTCATAAGCTAATTCCGGGGTTTTATTAGAACCATATAATATAGGAACTCGCAAAGCAAGGACGGAAGAATACACCTCCTCGTCGATTAAAACATTAAAAAGCCATCTAAGCTTTCTAGTGATCCCTAGTATTACATCTTCTTCAAGATCAGCAGCACTTTTCAAAAAACTAAGAAATAAAGCAACCCGACCAAGCAATAATATTCTTGCTCCATGCATAGCATTACAATTAAAAGATAGATTGAAGTAGTCCTATAGTTACCATTCTGACCTCCAGGGATAATCATTAAATCACTCTCATCAATGAACAACCAGTCCAGAATTTGGAACTTGTGTTCCTGTTTCACTTGAGCTGAATTTAATAAAGAATTCAGTAAATGTAACGCTGTTGGCTCTAGAAGTTCTCCCAACAATTCACTAGCCGATTTCAGGAGTTCCCCTTCACTCACTCAGATTCTGAAAGTTGAGATCGTCAGGACACAGTGTTATTTTTGTTTTTTTAAATTTTATATTGTTCTTCTAATTAACACAATATATTTTAGATTGTATTAAATTTCATTTTTTTTTTTTTAAATAATTACAAAATCAACATCCTGAAAGTGTCCAAAACGTATCATTGCCGTATCCATGTCGTGTCTCAACCGTGTCTGACCAGAAAATAAAATATTTACTATTCAGAATACTTCTAGCCGTATCCAATACGTGTCCGAGCCATATCCGCATATTATAAAAGTTTCCAAGTATCCGATACCGCCACGGCACTCTAACAGAAGTATCTGGGCTTCCTAGACTGCATCTACATATCTTTTATAAAGAAGCAGAGACCTAAGGCAGCTTTCTGACACACTCAAAAACATGTGAATGCACTCAATTATTGAAGTTTCACTATTAATTGTGAAGTCATCAGCAAATGCATTGTTCTTATTAATTGTTTCAATCTCTGGTTTAGTAAAGGCCTTCTTTAACCTTTATATTTGTTTTTAATTATTCTTTCGACCTTATCATACAAGGAACATCTCCAACACCGAAAGCAGGAAAATTATAATACAATGAACATCTCTGACACCGAAAAGGAGGAAATGAATACTTATTCTCAAGACAAACAACGATAACTGGAGGATAAATCATTCAAACGCTTAATAATTTAGGCTTTCGCTCTGCCTTTAATTACACATACCGCAAGCTGATTGTTCATTGTTGTAATTTGCTGCTACATGGTACCTCAATGAATCTCTCTCCATGACAAGTCTTTACACCCTAGGAACACACAAAATGACCAAGAAGAAAAGAAACACTTCCAATAAGAAACCCACATAGGTGGGACTAATAATGGGTGACGGACCTTTTTCTTTTCAACCCAAAAACATGCACATTACCAAAAAGCACAGTACTACAACTTAAGAAGACTGCACATAAGCAAACGAACAATTCCAGTTGCACCCTTTAAATATAGAGCAAGTATATTGATGACCTGTGTAAGAAGGAAGAGAGCTTCAACAGTATCCTACAATGGTTCAGTTATATAGTAGCCAACGTACAGACTAAACTTTGTAAAAGTTTATGTAACAAGACCTCGTTACCGACAGTTGAACTTATCGCAAGCAGGACTTTAAAGCACAGGATCATTGGAAAAAGGAGTACCAAAATGTAAAACACTATAGCATGATCCATCAATGGTGCCAGAACTCCTTGTTGCAGCTTCCCGGGCTATAGTGGGTATCACGGTGCCACCAGAATCACCATAAAGTATAAACAAACTAATTGTATCTTTCATATTTAGCATACCAGTCTCAGCTTTCAGCTACTAAGGTCATCCTTTGGATTTTGGCCTAGCGTATCCCAGATTGATTAGTTTTTCCACCAGCTTTTTCTCGGCATCCGCCTGAAAACCACCATAAGGAAAAAAGAGGCCAGACAATGTATTACAGCCAGGAACAAGAACATCCAACACGCTAAATTATGCATGCACCCAAACAAGTCTGATTGATGAAATCCACAATATCAAGGCAGTTTGTTAATAGCTAAACATCACAAAATATGGAATAAATAGAACTTACGAAAAAAAATATTTATGTAAATGTATATTGTTCATTTACGCATTGAGAGAGATAGATTAAACCTCAAGTATGGTGCTGTTTTTTGGAATGTTGCAAGCCAATATGACATTTAGACCAGTCTTCAAAACTGTGAGGACAGTTGCATGTCAGCCCATGGGCCCAAATAACATATTGTGATAGTAATTAATGCATATCACAATTCACCTAATCAACGAGCAATGCCAGATCCTGTATTATCAGAAGCTCCCCCAATTATGGAAGTAACACTAACTGTGTTTTTCTGTGCATAACCATTAAACTATAAGATGATGATGACTAATAAAATAACAATGACAGATGATTTCAACATTTGTAAGCAAGTACGGCAAGATTATCAACACATGGAGTTATTTATAATTCCCTCTCTAAATTATCAAAATTGAACTTTAGATATTGAATCTTTTGCTGAAATAATAGAAAATCTTATCCCAAAGAATCAACAATGAATGGCAGAAAAAATAGGAAGACCGGCATGATGTAGAAATTGTCAACTTACAGGTCTTGCCGGCAGAGCTGCATATAAATTTCCGAATTTGGCTGAGTTGCAACCGATCCATGCATATATCTACAAAAACAGCATAGTAAATAGAACCACCAGAGAGAAGAAAGCTAAAGAACGGACTAGAAAGTCCTTTTTTTAATCTG